TCAATTTTATATAGGTAAAACCGTCATATAGGAATATGCCTCGTAGTGATCCGCCTGCTATAAAGCACACCACTGTATATATATATATATATATATATATATATATATATATATATATATATATATATTATATATATATATATATATATATATATATATATATATATATATATATATATATATATATGATCAACACCTCACACCGCCAGGATTCGAACCCACGGCCCACGACTGTGACCGTGGAATGCTACCTCTAAGACCACCAGGATACTAAAAGCAGTCTTGGACTGCTTTTAGTATCCTGGTGGTCTAGAGGTAGCGTTTCCCGGTCACAGTCGTGGGCCACGGGTTCGAATCCTGGTGGGGTGAGGTGTTGATTATATGTAGAAGTCCGCGTGCTTTATTGGGCTAATGAAATATATACTGTATATATATACAGTTGGTCCTCACATTAAGCGGTCCCGCATTCCGCGTTTCACCGTTACCGCGGTGCCTTGCCAGAACCTAACATTTTCACATTTCGCGAACGCCATTACGCGGAGTGTGTCCGGCGCGACGCTATTTTTAGATTTTCCCCACACGCCATGCGCCACCCGCCTGCCCGCCTGCCTGCCTCTCCCTCCTCCTCCCTCCGCTTGGGCAAGCGGCGCGGTAAGGTTGCACAGTGTGTCTTTGTTGTGTTATCACTGACGTCATATGACGTACAAGACCTGTGATTGGCCATGCATCCCTACCCTCCTCTGCTGCTAGCTGTAATTGGCTTAAAGTATTATGACGTGTCCACCCGGGGCAGGGAGGGAGGGAGGAGAGACGACGCTTGACCTAGCCGCGACAGTCTCATCCCTCAAGGCCACTCCGTGTTAACGCGCATCCATTGTTCCGTAAAATGGCTTCCGCCGGACCACCACCCCCAGAGAAAAACCTTTCCTTACCTGGACCCAGCGGCACTAAGCCAAAGAGGACACGACGCTCCTTAAGCTACGAGGTGAAGTACCAAATTATTCAAGATTTGGAGAAAGGAACACGGCAAGTTGATCTCGCGCGCCAGCATGGCGTCAACGAATCTACGATCCGGACTATAAAGAAGGATTCAGCCAAGATAAAGGAGCACATGAAGATCACAAAGTCTACAGGTGCTTCTATGATCAAGTATTTTCACAACCGGGTGCTTCTCAAGACAGAAAAATTACTTGTGAGGTACTTGGTGCGTCAGGCGCGACGGAACATGGCGGTCGACACGCGCTCTGTGAAGGACTACGCACGTGAACTGTACATGGCAGTGGCACGAAAGATGGGAACTTCAGAGCCCAAACCCTTTACTGCTTCCTCTGGGTGGTTACAGAGGTTTAAGATCCGGAACAAGATCACCAATATAAACATTGGTGGTGAAGAAGCGAGTGCTGATCGTGCTGCGGCTCGGGAATTTCCTCCGTTTTTACGTGAGATTATGGAGGAAGGACAGTACACCGACGACCAGGTGTTTAACATGGACGAATCTGGTCTTTTCTGGAGAAAACTACCTTCCAAGTCCTACATTGTGAAGAATGCCAGCAGGATTCGGGGCCGGAAAATGCAGAAGGAACGCATCACCGTCCTGTTTGCCACCAATGCCTCCGGTACCTGTAAGCTCAAGTTATCGGTGATCCACACAGCCCGCAAGCCGCACGCCTACAAAACCATGGACATGACCAAGCTAAATGTCCACTGGCTGACAGCACGTAAGGCATGGATGTTCTCTACACTGTCCCTCTCCTGGTTTGATGACTGTTTTGTTCCCGATGTAAAGAAATTCTGTGAGCAACAGAATGTCCCATTTAATATTTTGTTGCTGCTGGACAACGCACCAGGACACTCGCCCCTACTGTTAGATCGTCACCCCAACGTAAAAGTGGTCTTCCTTCCTCCCAACACTACGTCTATATTACAGCCCATGGACCAGGAGTTGATTTGCAATGTGAAAGCTGCATTCTCAACAAAAAAATTCCAGCTCCTGAACGACTACACCAACACCAGGGAAGAGTTGCGTGACCTGAGTGACACCACCACCGATAGCAAGAGCGACGAAGATGAGGAACAACGGTTAGAACAGCAAAAAATACTCTTCAAACAATTCTGGAGAATATTTAACATCAAGAAAGCTGTGGACATCTTGGTGGAGTCATGGGATCAGCTGTCTATTGCTACAATTCGTCACGCATGGAGACATGTGTTGCATGGAATACCAGGTGAGAGGAGGAGTCAATCTGTGACTGGTGAGGTTCAGAATGTTGCAGTAGCAGTGGACCTTGCCAGAGAAGCTGCGCAGACTGTTACAGTTCCAGGCTTCTCCGAGACCACCAACGACGACATCCTGGAGGTGATCAGAGATCCTGAAGTGACTGCCGACGAGATGATGGAAGAAGAACACGTCAGTGAAGAGGAGGAAGAAGGTGCGTCAGTCTCCGAAGAACACAGTTTAAGTCATAGTGATATTAAGTGTGCCATGGAGTTTGCAGAGAAAATTAAGTCCGTCCTTTCCCGCGACAATGACGATGACCGCTATGAAGTCTTCCATAACCGGCTGGTGCAGGCTATGGAGCCATACATCAAGGTGTATCACGACAACATCAACGCCAGCCGTCAGCAAAGCATAACAGATTTCTTCACCCGCAACCCACCACAGCCAGCCCAAGCCAGTGATAGTGACAGTGAAGTTGACTTTGAGGGATTTGTCAGGGAAGCCCTGACAACTGTGTGTATATATATATATATATATATATATATATATATATATATATATATATATATATATATATATATATATATATATATATATATATATATATATATATATATATATATATATATATATATATATATATATATATATATATATATATATATATATATATATATATATATATATATATATATATATATATATATATATATATATATATATATATATGTGATAACAAGAAAGAGAAAACACAGTTCCCAAGCTTGGTGTAATTCATCTTCAGGGTGAGTACAGACTAGAGAGTAATACAATCAAGGTGTATATATACAGAGGAGGGTGAGACCAGGTCCACTTGTGTTTTCTTCTTTCTTGGTTATCATATATACCTGATCAGCGCACCTACAGTGATTTATATATATATATATATATATATATATATATATATATATATATATATATATATATATATATATATATATATATATATATATATATATATATATTATATATATATATATATATATATATATATATATATATATATATATATATATATATATATATATATATATATATATATATATATATATAATATATATATATATATATATATATATATATATATATATAATATATATATATATATATATATATATATATATATATATATATATATATATATATATATAATGCATGTGTGGATTGTTAAACTGATACAAAAGTATCCATAATTCCATAAAAAGTGATAAAAAATGCAGGACAATGCCCATCACCCACTATCAGTGAAAATTCACACACACACACACACACACACATTGTAAAATAATGTAGTTAACCTCTGAGAATACTGACATCATATAGCATAAATGCAACTCTTAGAAGTATATGAGATTCTAATTAACAAGGTGTGGAAGAAAAACACACCAAGCATTATGTCAAAATAAAATATTTGTGCCACTCAAAAATATGTAGTATGCCCAGTAATCACAAATTAAATACCTTTACAAGTATGATCACTTTGTAACAACAATCACAAAAACACAGTGGTTGAGACATATCACCCACTTTTAATACTGAACCACTAAACACCACATCTTTAACTTGTACAAGATTTTTATACCTTATAAAATGTACCATCTTGGTGAAGGTAATTATGTATGCAAACTTATAAATCAATGTGCTATTTTACAATTTAACAAACAAATACAACCAAAATGTTATGTAGTCACAATCAAATGTCCTGCTGCTCCAGGAACCCCCGAGACTGAAACTCGTGAATCCAAAGTATCAGTGGACAGAATAATGCATCGGTATCTACTGCTTAGGGCTCACAAGTCTGAATCGTGGGGTTAGTGGAGCAGCAGGAGAGGCGGCAAGACTTTTGACGCTGACTGTATTTACACAATACATTAGTTATAAAACGGATATAGAGACCCGTTGTTAAAAGCATCATTGCATATCTAAACAACCTAAATATACTGTGTTGCTGACACAATCCTAGAAAGATTATGGAGCCCAGTAAAAGAGACCACTCTACCACACTACAATGGATACTGAATAATCATTTGCAAAAATTAATGTATTAACTAATACTATAGGGGAGTGAAAACACCTCTATGTCACAAGAAGGAAGGACCATACGGCATCACTCAACAAAAAAAATATACACTCCAGTAATCTGATGTCAGTTTTCCAAAATAGAATGAACATACATTACACAGTAAATCATTAAATTGTGATATTTTTGCATAATTATATATACTACTGTATAATGCACTATACAGTAAGTCCTGCAAACCTCTGCACAACACACTCTTATACTGGGGTATATTGAAGAAAAAATAAAAAATCAGTAAGTTTAAAACAAATATTGCTAATAAGAAAAAAAAAGGAGTTTTTGCTCTAAAACTTTTTCAGAATTTCTAGTTTTACAAAAAATAATCTCTCCATTTGAAAACAAGTGGGAATCATAGACAATTGTTAAAAATAAGTAGTAAGGCACTATACTAATAACAATCAAGCTCAGGGTACACTCAATAAACCATTACAGTATGTAACATTTACCTCTTTTTTTTCAGTGGAGGATGAAGATGCTTTATATTCACAATGTATGAACAAACACAACATATATTACCAGAGGACAATTTTGTAAAATTACAGGATGACATTCAGCTTCTCACCAATTAAACACCAGCCTATCCTAACACTAAGTATGACTATTTTGTACATCAAATAATCTAATGCACCTCTAATGCTCAGAATATATTACTCACCAGATAAAGCCAATACAGGATGGTGATCAGTAGCAGACCATACAGCAAGTTAGTCACTGTATTTTCAGCCCTAAATCCCTGGTGGAATGTGACTGTTTCAGAACACTTTCCTGCATTGTGTCATTTGAGAATTGGGGATAAGACTGGTGCAATACAGTAAGTGTTTTTAATATGAATAATAACTCGTACTGTTTTTATATAAAAAACTATTTTTTTTACGAAAGCTTATATTGCCAAGCTAAGTGGCATAGTAATACAGTAGTTGCATATAAATTATAATATTGAAGTAGTAACTAACTTTTTAAACAGGATCTCCAGAACTCTCAACATTTCAAAGGAACTCCTTGAAGTATTTAATCCAAAACAATAGGCTACTGAATGACATGTTGATGATTTGCTAGGTTGAGCTGCCACATTAGTCTTATGTACACCAAATACCACAAAATATTTGTAATAGCTCTTTTACACCACTAATTAATAAGGACATATAGTGTAATTTTCAGGATTTTTTTTTCACAATTAGACGAGTCCTATGATAATTTTAGAAAGTCATTTAGCAGCTACATTACAGTTTCAAATTAATGAAAACGGAAAATGAATTATTTACGATACCCCTGTACTGTACTAATTGATTGATGTGGCAGTTCCAAAGACAGAGGAAGTGAATTACTCTAGGTTGACAGGGTGATGCACTAAGCATGTTATCAAAGTAGGAATATCAATCCTTTACATGATCACTTGCCCCTACAATTCAACTAATTTCAAACAAGCAACTATCATTACAGAGATTAATGAAGGTACCCATCAAGATGCTTTACAAACACCCAAAGCTAACACTTCTCACAGTGCTACCACAGCTACTAATGTCAACCTCAACCAAAGTGTTAATACAAATGCAGACATTGTTCATTAGTTAATTACAATGGCTTTCTCTATTTAACTCAAGTGTTAATAAGAAAATGCTAAAAGGAAAACAAGTGGCTAAATGTCTGACACCTGGTTAAAGTTTGCTTTCAGTAAGGTTAAATACTTGCCATGAAAGAAATGTACAGTTGGGGAAAAATATTCTGCCCCCCACACTGCTGTGGCCAGTGGAGACATCCGGCAACTCTCTTGTACAGTATAGTAGAAGTAAACAGATAATTAATGAATCAGCAGTGTAAAAGTGCACATTTTTATAATAAATTCCTTATTTTTGTTTCTGATTCATAAATTATCTGTTTACTACTACAAGAGAGTTGCTGGATGTCTCCACTGGCCACAGCAATGTGGGGGCAGAATATTTTTCCTCAACCATACAATAGATGTGGTCACCTTCACCTAACACAGCAAGCTGTGTGTTAAGCATTGATATTCCAATAATCTAATTACGTGACACCAACATTTAAATAAATTTTGAATAACCAAAAGTTAAGGCGACATAAATACAAGCTGAGTATAACAGTAAAAATATAGTCTGTCACATATTAGAGATGATAATAAAATATGAAAATAATTAAATTTGTCAAAATGTAGTTAACACTAAGAAATATATATTAATATAATATAACAAAAATTATTCTCAATTGTTTAAAGTTTAAGTTAAATCTATCAAACAAAACAACTGGCCTACACCAATGACATCTCTGAAGACAGTACTTCTACTTTATCTCTGAGTTCTCTACCATGTGCAGAGACATGATATCTCTCTATTTCAGGGAGTGACACAAACACTGTACAGTAATGAGTTGTGTACATTCTCTATATTCCTTAATTCAGAACAGTGTAAAGAACTTCTTCACAGATGGGCAGTAGGATCATTGGAATAAATTAAATAACAAAAGAACCACATCACACACACACATACATACATTCAGATCACACCTTTAGGTTTTTTCAGCTTTTGCATTGGCGAGGGGAGGGAAGATATGTCAGAGGTCAGCTGATACCCCCAGAGATTTTCAGGGGCATTGGTACCATTGAGGTTTAAAATCATGATTCAAAAACCAATGTTGAAAATTCATTTGGCTATACAAATACAGTACTGTATGTTTAATAACATCAAATGCAACATGTTCCATAATAGCAATTAAGGACTGTGAGCAAATTATGTTTGTTGGGGTAATATTTGGGGTAGAATATCCACCCCCCCCCACCCAGCCTTATGGAAAAAAGCCTGAACCTTATACTTCACATGGAATATATCTCCTGCCTTCATTCATGTTAACACTTTGTTACTCCTTTAATTCAAACCCCAATAATAAAAATAAACTTGAGGATGGTTGACAAGGACTAAGATTTATAATACAGACACCTGTATAAAACATAACATGAATAGCATAAAATCTTCACTATCTGAGAAAAATAATCTGGGAAGAATAAAAAACCTATTCTTAACTTTGCAACTTAAAGAAGCCAAGATGTAACCTAACTAGAAATTACTGTATGAAATGAAGAGGGAGAGCATAATGTACTCACACATCATCTTTTACCAAGAACTTCTAAAAACAATTCACAACACTTATTTATTTTATGAATTTAAAGCAATAAACACTTTAGTAATGTGCAGACATGCTGCTGTCCTCAAGAGGTTAATGCTTTACTGTTCCATTATTATGTTTTAAGGCACTAGGCTCAGCAGTAGTACTTTTGACAAGAGCACAACAACTGATTCAGGCATAGCACTGATAAATTACAAACAAAGATACAGCAAATTACTGCTCTAGTGTGACTGGTGTGATGAAGAATGCTCTTCACCACTCATTGCACTTAGTAGGATTGATTTTCTTCTTACCCAAAACTACAGACTTCCCGACACATTATCACACCACACAAGCAGTAGGCAAGGTTATGAAACCCCAGTTATGATGGCTACAATTCTACAAATATCCTATTCACAAGAAGTGCTATGTGAGTTGATACACAACAATAGTAAAGTGAGGTAAAAATGATATATAAAACATGAAAAACTACTTAAGTATACAATCACAATACCTGTATATTAATCAAATTGTCTTATATAAGGTGATATATGGAAAGGAATGTACAGTACACCCATTTGGACTCATGGATTCCTGCCTATGAATGTGTCCAAGTGAGCCTATATGCATACAAGAGTAAAGGTTAGTCCATTTTGATGTTTCGGTAGATGTACTTGACAAAGGCAAGTGACGCAAAGAATGATACCGTGCCAAGGGTGAGAAAGAAGACGTAGCAGGTGAGGAGCGACCAGCCGACAAATTCAATTGTCTGTAGCCCACCAGACATGTTGGACCGCTTCAGGTAGTAGAACAGACAGTACATCAAGACAAAACCCCCAGTTGATCTGTGGAGAAAATTAATTTATAATGTCTGTTCACTGGCCTTGCAATCATTGTGGTTACTTATGTCCACATTCCTCAAACATTTGAGTAACCTTTTTCTTTGCATCTTCACCTGCATTTACACCTCTCTCTGGTTCAGGCCATGTCATGTACTGGTAGCTTCTTGGCGCATACACATTCCTTCCAAAAACAAATTTGTATAAGTGGATGGTGCTCCTCTGCTATCCACAGCATAGACTTGGGTTTACAATACTGAACTGTACACCAAGAATTTTACCTGTCCATCAGATTTGTGTACTACCATATCTAATAAGGGGAGCTTACCTCCTTCCATTTCCACTGTGAACTGGGTGTTTCTATCTATGTACATTGTTTAACACCCTAAATTTATTTTCCAAGTCAGCGTGCATCTGACCACAACAATAACAAACACCAGACTGACCAAGTTTGGGGTGCAACGCGGCGATTGTTACCCACACAGTCAAATATGTCGAGATTTTCCCAGACAATTTTATTTAACTCGGCTTTTCCCGAGCTATTTTATAATAAATTCCAAGTCCATATCTGTGCTGAATTATGTGAAATTCCAAGATAACAAATGTTGAGTTATCAAGGGTTTACCAAATTTCGCTTGGGAGAGGCATCAGAAAACACTACACTAACACCATGTGGTGCATTCTCCTTGCACTTTCTACATTTTTCCACCCTTCCATCCTCTCCAGCAACATGATTCAAAACCCACACAACACTTTTGTGAATTAATTAAATCACTGTGATGCACAAGAAATCAGCACAAATCACAAGAAAATGTGTGAGAAATGTAGATCAATGCTATATCCTAGGTCCTTTAAACACACGTTGCCATGTGTGTGCCTTGCGTGTCTAGTGTTCATACGCGAACAGAAATTTATTTCAAATTTTTTACTTCATACGCAAATTTGCCGAGGGAAACCCCAAAGCGATAATTTAGATCATACGCAATTTTGCGTAGGAAAACCTCATACGTGCTAAGGAATTTTTATAGTGGTATCAATAAATCAGTTCTAAATAAGGTAGAAACACCATTCTTATACAAAAATAAACCCAAAGAGTTTATCTAAATAAATATATACAGTATAAAAAAAAATCAATATTTGGGCCATCAAATAGAGGTATATTGTGGGCACAAGGCTTGAATGGAAACCAGAGTGGCAGCCGAAACAGCACACACAATGCTGCCAGACATGAGATTTCCCAGCAACAATAGCTGCTTGGTGACTCACCAAGTACAGTTGTGCTGAGAGCCAGCACCAAGCTGCCAAGAGTGAAAGAGAGACCAGGAAAAATTAACTTTTTCCCACATGTTAAAACCCAAGTCAAGGCAGTGGGCTCCACCCTCGTGGACCCAACTCTACGGGTCGTTTACTCTGCTGTGTTCATCACTGTGATGAGCGTCAACATCACCGCAAATTGTAAGTACAGTATAATCTCAATCAAACTGAATCCGATATAAAGCAATTACTGAAGATATTGTTAGAACTACAGACATTAAAGAGTGTACTTACCCTGCACTGAAGACTGATCTCCACCACCATCTGTAGTCTTCAGCAGCAAGCTGAAAGTATGTGAGTGCAATGGACACACAAGCTGTCACACTCAGCAGTATGACAAACACTACACCCAAAATACCATAGAGGGTGTATTGTTCACGTCCCCAGAGAGTTGAAAATATGTAGTACATCTCCACACTGATAGCACTGTGGTACAAAAGGAAAGAGTGAATTAAATTAGTGACAGCCATAAATGTCATGGCTACCCTTTGTAAATATTTAAGTCTCCTTAGATCAACGGCAGATTTCAAATCCAGCCATCTTTGAACATGATTACACAAGTATCAAAAGAGGGCTTATATTTATACCGTTTCCCAAAAGTTTTGCAAGATAATAACAAATATGCACGAAAAGCGGTTTAGAAATGCACAATGACATGACTAGTAACTGAATAACTGCATACCATAATAAATAACACCCCATAAGACAAACTCATGTCTCTTGGGTTGAGAGTCCACAGAATTAATAATGCACAGTACAATTCAGAACATTAAAATTAATTCTATATTACAATCAACATACAAGTGAATTAAAATATTTACCTGAAAGGCAAAAATCCACCAACAGCAAAATGGGCCCAATGTGAACGGTACCATGGAACAGAAGGGATCTCGCGAGCAATATTTTTTGTGCGACAAGGAAAGTTGAATTCTGTTACACCATTCTTGCCCAGGATTCCTCCAAACACAGTCAAGGGATAACCAACTGGAAAAAAATATAAGGAGTATGTAGAAGTGTGTCTGGCAGATTTATGGCAGATTCAGAGAAAGATCACGTCTGCAACTTCAACTTCGTTACTCTTTTCAAAAATGACAAATGCCACTGGACCCATTATCTTTAAGGCATTTTCTTATTCATCAATAAACATCTACATTAATGTCATATTTTGAACCAAAATAAATATACCAGGCTATATTCCACACTTATATTATAAATTTGCTATTCTCTCAAATTTTAAGCAAAAAAAATATATGCAAATGAACACAAGGTATATAATGGATCACTTTCTCAGTAACAACTAGCTGGCAATTACAGAGAACAGTAAAACAACTAAAATTCCCCAAGCAAATCTCATTTAACCCGGGTAGTTTCTTCTCTTGTTAACAATTGCTTTTTTTTCACTCCTCTTATATTCCTGAGTGGCACCTCATTTAGACTACCGGTTCTACTCTCTCTCCAATGGGATTTCTGAAAGTTTGGTACAATGACTGAGGTACCTTGATAAAACTCAGTGTATGGATCCCTTATGATGAGGTGACATGTTTATCAATACATTACAGTAGAGGTGAAGGAAGGTCAAGATACTATACAGGCTAGATGAAGGATAAGAGAAGTCAATTTTTCTAAAGAACACTAGTCTACAGAGCATGAGTCTGAGTAATAATCAAGCATTATGCATCAACTAAAATACCTAACAATGTTTTAAAAGAACATTAAAGGCTAAATAATTATGCAAAAACTTGTAAACCTAATATGACAATTTAACAAACAAGACAAAATCAAGAGAAATATAATTTATACTTACTGCAAAGCCACACAATGAAAAGTAGTATGATGGTAGTAAAGGGTAGTGCCTGTGTTGAATGATAGGCCCAGGCCACAGAGTTCTGTACACTCCATATTAGGAAGAATGGTCCTGAAAATATTATGAAGCTTTAAGCAATTAGGCAACACATACTGAAAGTGGATTGGGTTACCTTCTTGAACACTTAACCCTTACACAGTGATAAAGTCAGTAACTTATCAGGTGCACTGCTGATGAAAGCACATTTAACTTACATAAATGGTTACCAAATGTTCATTGGTAAAGTAACGAACACAAGTTCAAGCTTCATTAAAGCAGTTTGGGTTATCTTTCTGATGAAATTTACTATGATAAGAAATGTAGTACTGTATTGGTGATCCTAAAATCTCAAAGCTTTTTGTAATGATGGAATGAGGATGGTGTCAAAATTTAAGCTAAGTTCTGTAATATCACACCTGTTACTAAATATCAAGTACTGTATTTTGTTTCAGAAGCACAGAAGGAAAATTAAATTACTTGGCATTAAAATTTTTATCCTGTTAGACTGGTATAATGAGAATAAAGATCTTTGTTTTTATTAAATATGAATTAAACACATGATAAATACAGTATATTGTATTTAGACTTACAATTTCTCTTGAAATTCTGTTGATGAATGCAGTTTGACATTCCCAAAATCACTTAAGTTTTTCTAATGAAGCTGTGTTTCATCACAATCTTGGTCTTATACTTTATATTTATGCTGCATATAACATTAACCCTTAGGCCCCGGGTGACGTTCCAGAATGCGTGCCTATTCCCGCCACTGCTTAAATGCCCAGCATGGGTTATCAGGTTCCAGTGTGACAATTTGCCTCTCACGCCACAGGGAAGCTTCCTGAACATAATTACCTACTTTTGTTTGTTTCATTTTTTGTCCATTTTTATCATGTTGTATCAAAGTAATATTGCTAAAAGTAGTGTAGTTGTATTGTAGGATAGTATAACTGTAAAACAATGCTATGATTATGTTATAAATGCATTTATTTGTGGAATTATTTATTATTTTATGCATTACTTGCTCTACCAAACACAAAGACAGCCAGGCAGACTGGCGACCGACTGGTGTGTGTTGCCAAGCACTTTTTTGATAAATTATGCAAATAAAATATTGTAAATGAATTATTTATAGCAAATAAGTATTAAGATCAGTAAATAAATACATTATTGGCCACCTCGGACACAAAGGCGAGTTAAAAAAACTGCTAAGTGCGTAGGGACCACGAGCGACAGCTGTCAAACCAACACTGTCTCCTATCTCCCCCCTCCTCCCTCCCTCTGCGCAGTCACAAAAGTTTATAGAGGGTCAATATATAGTTCTTCTTGCTTAATTTTTATTGTTTTATCATTTTGAAAGGTAAAAAATAATTTTTGGAGAAGTTGATTTTTCTCGATTTACCCCCACGTGGGGGGTTCTGCAACCAGCACCCTAACCCGGTGCTTCAGGGTTAATACTACTCACTGCCATATTTTCTGAAATCCATATTTTCAAGTTTACAATAAAGTTTTCTTTCATTACCAGCTCTTGCTGGTGTACACACAGGCATCATCAGTGTTATTGTTCCTTGAGAACTTCAAAGAAAGTGTCTGGATAATGAGTACAGTACAATGGGGAATGTGGTCTTAGGCTGGGGAAAGTGGTCTCAGGCAATCAGTATGGCTATTACCTACATTTAATTCTTGCAATTCTGTGCCATTAAATGGTTATTCTTTTCATGATCATGTATACATTTTCCAGTACATTGTATTTATACACATGCAGTCTATCCTAAACATTTTGGTTACTGGAAACCTCCAAAGCTTACATAAACCAGGCTAGCAGTGCATCAGTTCCTGGCATCCACATTTTAACAAAAATTTAAGATAAAAAAAAATCAGTTAAACACACACGTGTGCATGCGCGCGCACTAGGGGGCAGTGAAATTTTGCTCAAAGCTGCACTCTTCAGGCATTGTACCTTATACATATCTAAGACTCCATGCCAAATTTGAAGCTGATATGTCGAGGTTTAGTCTGCCGCATTTTCTACTGAAATTTTTAAATTTACCTACAGTACTAGCCAAACAGCCGCTGTGGCGGTGCAATGTTCTGTTCAGTGTTTATCAACTTTTTTTTCATATCTCTTATTTCATTTAAGTTGTCTTGTTGCAGATGAGTATGGTGCTATGTCTATATTGATTATCAGCCTTTTCTCATTTCATTTCTCAATGTTGTGTTACTGTACTGTAATGTAGGGGAGACCTGGGTAAGTTGCCGCTTGTGACCGATACTTGATTAGTGATTATGCTGGAGCTGCCATTGCTACTGCCACCTTAACTGACTATGGCATTATCACAAAGGATGACAAGAGTCAGGTTATTGGACCACATAAGCTGCGGGATGCGAGACAAAAATACCGATTTAAGAGGCAAGAAATTGAGATGGCTAGTTTAGATAATTTGACGTCACTCTATTTTGATGGTAAGAAGACCGCCACTCGTGTGATGATAAAGAATGAGAAGACCGAGAAATGGAGTTCGAGGATGATGGTGAAAGATCATTATGTCATCATGGTTGAGCCTGGCAATGAATATCTCACACATGTGACTCCCAAGACTGGACACGGAAAGCAGATTGCCAAAACTATTCACGAGTTTCTGGTGGAGAAAAATCTAACCCAGCAGCCCATTGTGTGTGTTGATTGTGATGGAACCAATGTAAATGTAGGATCAGAAAATGGAGTCATTCATCATTTGAAATGTTACTTGGTCACCCGCTCCATTATTTCATATGTCAGCTTCACGGAAATGAGCTGCCTTTCCGCGCAGTTTTTTATCACTATGATGGTAAACCAAGTGGTCGTGAGCATTGGCGTGGTCCCATTGGAAAGCAGATCAAGGAGTCTTTGTCTGAGCTTCCAGTTGTCGCCTTCCAGCCAGTCAGTTTCCCTGATTTCCCTGTGTTTAATGATGAAGTGGAGAAAGATCTGTCCTGGGATCAGAAATACCTGTATAGGATTTGTAAAGGAGTTATCACAGGTGTTGTTGAAGATGACTTGGCTGCTATTGAGCCAGGTCCTCCCTGTGTGTCAAGGTGGAACACCTTATGGAGTAGAATCCTCAGGCTGTATGTAGCAACATCAAGACCCAGCCATGAGTTGAAAAGAATTGTCATTACAATAATAAAGTTCAGTGCTCCAATGTGGTTTTACATCAAGATACACCCTTACGTAACACACGGCTCAAGGAACGTATTCCAGTCCCTGCTATATATGAAACACCTGAATAGTGAGGAGGAGACGATAGTGAAGAAGGCTGTCCAGAGAAATGCATACTTCGCCCACACAGATCAACTTCTTCTTGGTATGTGTGCAGATGAGGACATGACTGTTAGAGAAAAAGCTGTCTCAATGATAAGAAAAATTAGAGAGGAGAATCAGCAAAAGGAAGAATGCACTGGCAGATCTGAAGAGGAGGAGGAAGATTCTGATGCTGCTGTTGACGAGAATTTGTTAAACTATACTGATGAGGAGGGTAAAGATGGAGATGGGAATGAGGATGTGCCTCCTGTAGTCAACATGAGAAAGGTGGTGACTCCGAAACTAAAGTGGCAAGCAAAAAACTATCATTCCATGATTAACTGGAGGAATGAACTCAAGACTGAGCCTCCTTACATTGCTTCTCTGTCAAATCTACAGGTTAATGACATTCTTGAGACACCATTAGTGGTGCCCAAGTGGCCAAACAGCACTCAGGCGGTCGAGAGAGGCATAAAAGTGATGACTGAAGCTTGCACTGAAGTGACGGGATACGAATCGAGAGATGGATATATTAGGCAAAGATTATTGTCTTGGAAAATGATGCCAAGGTTCCGCACAAAAAAGAATTTCAATATGAACTTGTAATGATTTTCTATACGGTGTACCTGTAAAATAACATGTGAATTAAATCGATGTCACCCATGTAAAATTTATCATTATCCTGGAAAACATTAAATGACACCTAATTTTTGGTATACACTAAAAGTTGACAAAAAGTCGTTCGCGATGCGGCAGGGTAAGTATACATGAAATGGCATGAAATTTTGCACAGGTGTTTGTTACAGCCATACAAACGATGCCTGAAAAGTGCAGCCTGCAACTCAAATAAAAGTGTTTTTTCCCTGCCCCCTAGCGCGCACGCACGCACATACACCAACAGAGAAAAAATAATATAAGTTTGAAATGCACATACAGTAAAAAGACAGTGACTACCTGCAAAAAGTACAGTGGTGAGGTTGACATTGGAAACCCACTTGGTTCCACCCATCAATCGGAAGTATGTTGAGGACACGTATCCAGCAATAGTTGATGCAAGGGCATACAGGAAAATAGCTGCACTGTTCATGGCACCGTGCCGATGGACATTAAACATTCCCAAGAGAGCCATCCCAATAATGCCCACTGTCACAGCAAGGAACTGACAGCCAACACCTGAAAAAAATTATCAAACAACTTAAACTTTGCATACTGCCATTAAACTCTCTAAAAACAATAGTGACATAAATAATAATTGTTTCATACCCATAATGAAATAATCACACATACAAAGAAAAAAAACTGTTCAACACTCTTGGATTTGAGGGTAGGTGCTCTCCTGCGAGACACTCGGGGTCTGGCCTGTTACTCACATCAACGAACTTGACTGCACCACATGAGAGATAATTGTACATAATGAGTCATAGCAGGCTTGCTATGTTAAATAAAAAGGTGGGATTTGTTGCAATAGCATTGTAAATAAATTATCTACAAACGATTTTATACAAATACTCATAATAAAATAATCATTTCTATATGTAAGCACCAGTAGAAGGCATCAGGAGGCAACATACTATCACCACGTGATGCAATCTCCTTGCACTTTTTGCTTTCCCACCCCTCCACCCTTGCCAGCAACATTATTTTTTAATATATATATATATATATATATATATATATATATATATATATATATATATATATATATATATATATATATATATATATATATATATATATATATATATATATATATATATATATATATATATATATATATATATATTTATTTTTTTTTTTGAGGATTAGCCACAGGCACAGGTCAACGACCCACAACGGGGCCTAGGGGGAGAAAAAATAAGAATAGAGAGAAATTTAAAATGGAAAAGGAAAAGGTTATATTAATCTACACCACGTAGCTGCCAGAAAACCAGCTTTATAAAGTGAGACAGATTGTAGGAGTATGGAAACACAGAAGAAGGCAGAGCATTCCACAGTTTGGCTGTGTGAGGAAAGAAGGATGCACTATAACGGGTTATTCTAGTGTGACCGACATCCACAGAGAAATGGTGGGCACCGCAGGCAAGACGTGTGTCACGAGCCCACAGCCTTGCCGGCGGTACACAGGATGCCAAATCCAATGAACATTGCCCGTTAAAGTACCTGTAAAAGAGAGAGAGTGAAGCAACATCGTGTTGAAAAGAAAGGCAAGAAAGATTGTCAACTAAAGGAGGAGAGTTAATAAGACGAAATGCCTTTGATTCCACCCTATCTAACAGTTGGACATAAGAAGAGCCACCCCAGATATGAGAGCAGTACTCCAAGTTAGGACGAATGAATCCCTTATATATTTGAAGCGACTGCTCAGGAGTGAAGTAGCTACGGCATCTGTACAGCATGGTTAAAAACTCTCACAACACTTATGAAAAAACGAAATCACTTGATGAATGCGAAATCAAGCAAAAGCCGCGAGAATATGTGTGGGAAATGTGGGTCAAAGTTATGTCCTGTGTTGTTGCAACACAAGATAGACTGGTGTGGTAACCTATCCTTGGAGGGCGGTCTACATAGTTGCCAGATCGTGCCAACGTTGCTAAATGTGCATCTTGCATATCTAACGTTCATACACAAACATAAAATTATTTAACTTTAAATTTTTACTTCATATGGAAATTTGCGTATGAAAACGCTTGAGCAACAGTTTAAATCATACGCAATTTTGAGTATGAAAACCCTAAAGCAATAGTTTAAAACACACTCAATTTTGCATATGAAAACCCCAAGACTGTTAATATTTTATAAGTGTTTGCATTAATTCACATGAAAAATACATGAAGTTTAACATGGCATATATGTAAAGTGAGTTTTACAACTTTTACATCATTTCCCTTATAATTAAAGATAAAATGCAAGCGTTTAATCAGCCATTTCAAATTATGCAAAGGATAAATACCTAAATAGAATTACATCTGGTAAATGTTAAGCATTGAATTTAGTTAATCTTTACCATTTTTTTGCTCCCTAGGACCCGTTGTGGGACCCACCTGTGCCCGGGTGGGCTATTTCCTATAAAAAAAAATGGGAAGACATACTGAAGGGTTAGCCAGGATATTGTTCTTTGTCGGCCTTACCCAAAATTGAAGAGAAGAGACTCTTGCGTTCAGGGAAGCGAAACACATCTGTGTGAATGATCTTCCATCCATATTCATCAGTATCCACTTCATCACGTCCTTCCTCGTCAATGTTGTAACGGGCAAAGTCGTTCTTCAACACCCGAGTCTAACATACAGGATACAGTATAATAAGCAGCACAAATAAATAAGTAACATTGATAGGATATAGCACATAAATCATTCATTAACACTTCATATTCTAAGTTTATCTGTTTATGCCTCTCACTATGATATCTACAGTACACTATGCAACAAAGTGCCAAAGTTATGTGAGGCAACTGAGATGAACCAGATATATAACTTTAGGTATTATGGTGATACAGGAACACCATAGAAGACTAAATCTGTTACATCAGTAAGAATGGAAAAAAAAAAATACTGAATATCAAGAGCTGTTTGATCTTGAGTTTGGCCACACTACAAAATAATAGAAGGCAAAGGCTTACTTACGTGAAAAAATAAAAATAGCAGCCTACACTTTGTTTCACACATAAACCTGGGCATGAAATAAGACGTGCATCTTTATGAGACCTTATATGAAATGAAAATTGGACTTCAAGTATGAGTAAAGTGAGAACAATAGGACCATGAGGGCATACCATCCTCTTCCTCCTCCATCACCATCCTTTGACTATGACAAAAAACAAATGTCTTTTGGGCTAAAATTTGAATCTCATTCTAAGAGAAGAATTCCTTCCAAACTCTGCTAGAGACTCATCCAACTTACACAGCAACAAGGGCACAAAACTAGGTCCTCTTCTCAATACAGAATTTGTAGTGAGTTTTATGGATGGACACCCTTCCTATCATTTATTTTAAAAACCATATCAAGAAAAGAAATTTTCAGGGAACAAATTTTCCACAATAAACTTTAATCTATGTAAATAAGTCATCCATCTCTCATATACCAGCAACACTTATTAAAATGAACTTTTCTTCACAAACACACAATTATAACAAAGTTAAACAATATCATGGATAACAAAGACATACCAAAATGATGACGACAAATCCCATGAGAAGAAAAACAAGAACCATGGAATTAATGATGGATAACCAATGGATCTCCAAACTCCTGGGGAAGAAACTGTTGTCCTGAATCAGGTGTCCACGATCAGCAAAACTTATCCTGGCAAACAAAATAAAATGTACTGAATTAGTGTTACTATTTGAGATTTTTGGGTATGTTAGAGTATATATTGTATACATTACAGTACCTCAATCTTCCTTATTTATATCATTCTCATTCCACCTCAAATGAATGAGGTAAAACAAGTAGACAACATTCACAGGGAACTACTGTATTTTACGGCATATACGTAATATGCAACTTTAATAACAAGCACAGAGTTGACTTGAGGGTAGACTCACATTTTTTCTACATTTTTCTACATTTTGCTGTCTTGTTTCTGATTATTTGTGAGAGGATTTTCCCATTATTATTTATTTGTATGTGTTTTGTGTGTGTGTGTACACATATAGTATATATACAGTACAGTGAACCCTCACTTTACGCGGTCAATTGAACCCACGGCGGCCCGCGTAAAGTGAGAAACGCGTAAAGTGAACAACATAACATATGGGATTAATTGAAATAGAGACCGGGCCGACCCCCAAACTCCACTTTTTCAGACACAATACCTACGTTGTAGTAAAAATAACTTCTTAATTTTATGATGGTATGCACACGCAATTAATAATTAAGAGAAAAATCAATAATATTAGGTTTTTTAACACTTACATTAGTAGAAAAGATGGCTGGGCACACGGGGATGGGGGGTTGGTTCTGAGGCAGAGGGCAGATTATTGGCCCTCACCTGTATCACTTGTATCAATTGTATCACTATCCACCACAGAGGTTTGCAGGGCCTCTTTGTCAAACCCCTCAAAGTCCATATAAGTCCATATCCTCACTATCATTATCACTATCACTGACTTGGGCACGGTTGTGGTGGGTGGCGGGTGAAGAACTCGCTAATGTTTTGATGACTGGGCGACCTTATGCGCACCCTGCTCGCGCCGCTCTCCGCGTAAAAGGGTACACATGTCATGGTCACGTTGACTGCTGATCTATTTAACTAATGATTCTTATTAAACTCCACGACCGCAAAACATGAGTGAGCTAGCGACCCCTGAGAAGACATGTTTTTTTCCCCATAGACGCTACACTTGTGTTCCCTCCCAGAGTACCGCCTTTGTGAAGACAGTTATCAATGCGTTGTTATTCCACTTTCTCCTGGGAAGCTCAATCTTGAATTAGTCTGTGTATATCAACTCAAGTAATTCGCCAGACCTTTGTCAACTGAGGGTCATCTTTGAATGAGTAACAGTGAGTTTGTTTGTGATTATTGTCATTGCGTGAGTAGCGATCACTGGCAACTCAGGTGTATTTATACCAGTGTATCGCCAGGGAGACCGTTCCCTGACGCTGCTCCAATGTTTCTCCAGGTATGTTTATGTGTAGCCATTCAGTTAATTCAGTCAATTGTAGTGAATACCAGTGTTCATCAGTGTTCATGATTTAACAGTTGAATTGTCATTCACCCAGTGCAAGAAGTAATATAACATAAATACGTCTGTAGTCTAGACAAGAGAGTTGTTTGTGTTGTCATGCTTCCCAGTCCGTTCCCTGACGCTGCTCCAATGTTTCTCCAGATCTCATTGTGACTCTTGGATCACTCGACAACTGCCCCGGATGTAGTAAATACCCAACAGGGATCATATATGAAACGATGGCACCGATGCGGCCTGATTAATGTGCGCTACTGCCTCGTTGGGCCAGACCCGCCATGTGTCTGGCTACTACCGACCACAACAATGGTCGTGAGCCCCAGTGTTCTACCCTGGGTTACTCCTTGGAAGTATATGTCCACAGAGAGGATTGTAACATGTATGTTAGGGATAATTAGTTGGAAATAATTATCCCATGTTGGGTAGTGGACCCCAGTATGTGCTAGTGTCAGTATTAACGAGTATGTGAGTAAAGTAATCTACAATGAGGGCCATGTACTATGTATTGTGAGTAGGGCCAAGGAACTGGTCCTATTATGCCATGTAATGTAACACCAGTAAGGTTATGTGCAGTAAGAATGTAAGATCTGAGTAATTACTGTTGAGTAAAGAAATATGAAAATAAGTAAAGAGATAAGAAAATAAGTAAAGAAGAAAGTACTGAGTCTGCAATAAGCCCAGAGTTGAACCTGGTAGTTATATGATTAATAATCTTTTCCCCTTTGATTTCATATTAATAAATTTGTTTTTAGAGTACTTTAGGTGTATTCATTTCTCCCCCAGTATTTTACCTTTATTTCCGTCCAAGTGACTTGATACCAGAATTACCATACCCATGTGCCTAGACCCTCGACCATGCTACCAAAAGAATGACCATGCTACCAAAAGAATGTCCATGCTACCAAAAGAATAGGTGACAGAACTGAGTAAGAGTAAGATAAGAGAAGTAAATAAGATGAGGGTGGTGTAGAGGTGTGGGAAACACGCGCCCTCACACACACACCGCGGAAAGTGAGCATTCCGTGTTCGGCAGGGTACCGCGTAAAAGTGGAAACGCGTAAAGTGGGACCGCGTAAAGCGAGGGTTGACTGTGTGTGTGTACATACATACATACATACATACATACATACATACATACATACATACATACATACATACATACATACATACATACACATACATATACATACATACATATATATATATATATATATATATATATATATATATATATATATATATATATATATATATATATATATATATATATATATATATATATATATATATATATATATATATATATATATATATATATATATATATATATATATATATATATATATATATATATATATATATATATATATATATATATATACACACACACAATACAGGTAAAAGAAATAATTGTCCTAAAGGCAAACACAAAGGGAACATACATTTCTTTGCACACGGGTAAAAATGTAACCCCCCCTCCCCCCCCCTGGTCAGCAAATAACATTCGCGGATTTGGCTATTCGCGGCCATTTGGAGATCCAAACCTCGGTGAATTTTAAGGGCATGTTGTACATGTTCCAAAGCTCAGAAACCTGAGAGAAGGCAAACTAGCATATAATCTCAATTTGAATGAAATAAGTACCCTGTACAAGCAAATGTTAAAGAATTATATGATGATTTTAGTAGGCTTATGTTACTTTATAGGTTGTATATTACAGTAATTAATGTACACATACAGTTCATACATACATGGTAATAATGATACAGAAATGAGATCAGTTTCCCTTACTTGGTGGGGATCCATGTCACTGAATAAGTGATCTTCACTGTCATAGGTGCCTCGACATCATCTAGGCTGATGGGGCTGTGCTCTTTTGTTACATTCACATAGATGATCTAGAAGGGTAATAGTAAAGACTGTATGGTAAGAACAGTCTAGTATCAATTATCCATACAATATTCAATACAAACAAATCAATCTGCACAGATGATAATGGTGATGCTTAAACAAAAGAAATACATGGCCACTGAAATGCCATAAGAATATGATTTACTCCTATATATGAGAAAATTAACAGGAGAGATACCATAAAATGAGAAGTACCACAACAGGAGAGATACCATAAAAGGCGAGGTACAGGTTGACAACCCTTTATCAGAAATTCCGAAAACCGAAAAGCTCTGAAAACCAAAATTTTGTTTTGTGGAGCAATTTTTTTATTTTTTTATTTTTTTAAGGGTATTAGCCCACCTGGGCACAGGATCACTGACCCACATCGCGGCCTGGGGGGCAAAAATGTAGTAGTAACAATAATAGTAATAATAATAATAATAATAATAATAATAATAATAATAATAATAATAATTATTCATAGTAAACAAAATTCTTAATAAAAATACAAAAAAATAAAATAAGAATAACAATAATAATAATTATAAAATTAATAATAATAATAACAATAACACTGTAATAACACTGTAATAATAAAATAATAATAATAATAATAATAAAGAAATACAGTACAAGAATGAAAAAAGATCAAAAGTGAGAAACACGACCTAGACCTATGAATTATTATTATCAGTAGAAGTCCAAAAATCCGGACTGCTTGAGGATTGGGTCGGTCCGGATTTTCGTATTTTCCGGATTCTCAGGCAGTACTGTACTTTTAAAATTCAAATTTAAGGAGGATTAAAGAAGAGATGAACAGGTACATTTTGAAAGTTTATTCATTTGCAAATGCAGCATGCTTCATTTATCAAAACGAGCAGTTTTAAAGAAAAAGCTGTGAATTCTAGAATTTTATGCTTTGCCTTTTTTATATCATAAATTGTAGCCTTTCCAATGTCGTATGTTTCCATTAGAACAGTATTGCTCACACCACGTTCTAGTTTCTTAATTATTTCAAGTTTGTCACTCAATTTCAAAGTGTTCTTCTTTATCTTCACACAACGAAGTTCATCTACTTTAGGAGCCATTATTATGGGCTTGTACAGTACTCTGTAAATGGAAAGAGTAGGACTCAAAATTACATACGCTGTCACAGTTTGATTGCTCGTTTTAAAGTGGCGACCACGTGGTCGCTTGTTGTTGCTGTGCAGCTGTGGTGCTCACACATGCGCACATACACACAAAAGCCAGCTAAATTATATATATAAAAAAAAAAGTTTGAGTTTTCGAAAAGTCCGGATTTCTGGCATCTGGATTTTTGGACTTTTACTGTATTATTATTATTATTATTATAATTATTATTATATTTTAGCCCCCAGACCCCAATGTGGGTCAGTGACCTGTGCCCGGGTGGTCTGATCCCTGTATATTTAAAAAAAAAAAAACTAACCATTCTGAAACCCGAAAGATTCCGAAAACCAAAATGCATCTGGTCCCAAGGATTTCGGATAAAGGATTGTCAACCTGTACCACAATAGGAGAAATACCACTACAGGAGAGATACCATAAAAGGAGGGATACCACAGCCAGAGATACCTCAACAGGAGATACCACAACAGAAGATATACCACAACAGGAGATATACCACAACAGTAGAGATACCACAACAGGAGATATACCACAACAGGAGATATACCAAAACAGTAGAGATACCTCAACAGGAGATACCACAACAGAAGATATACCACAACAGGAGTTATACCACAACAGGAGATATACCACAACAGAAGATATACCACAACAGAAGATATACCACAACAGGAGATATACCACAACAGAAGATATACCACAACAGGAGATATACCACAACAGAAGATATACCACAACAGGAGATATACCACAACATGAGTTATACCACAACAGGAGTTATACCACAACAGGAGTTATACAACAACAGGAGGTATACCACAACAGGAGAAATACCACAAAAGGAGAGATACCACAACAGTAGAGATATCACAACAGGAGATACCACAGCAGGAGATATACCACAACAGGTGAGGTACCACAACAGTAGATAACATAAAAGGAGAAGTACCACAACAGGAGGTATACCACAACAGGAGAAACACCACAACAAAAGGGATAAACTGCACTAATTTCAGAAAATCAAACACCCCCAGTGGATTTGGGTAAGCTAAATCCATTTCTGTTGTCTGCCAAAGTTAAAAATGTCTAGTTTGTATGGTATAGTGTGATATTTAATAAGGCTGACAATATACTACTGGAAAAATGTTATTGCCACAATTTTGCTTTCATTTGTGACATTCTTACAGAACTTTTATTTTATTTTTGGCTGTCTTATGCCAAGAAGCAGCTATTCAGGCAGTTATATAAGTACATGGCATTCATACTCAAGCACAGCAATGGAGACAGTGAAACAGGTTGGACACAATTCAACAAAACCATCAGTAAAGCTGATCGAGAAATGAGAACTGTTGGCTCAGGATATTTTCCTGGAAAATGGAGAAATATCCTAAACAGTGCTCCTGATGACTTTATTTTTAACAGTAACAAATCTTCACTAATTGATGAATAACAAATAATCAATGTGCTGTACAATATTATATCATGAATGACAGTAATAGCAGAATGCGTAAGAGAGGTAGTGTGTTGGGGAGACGCAATGGGTGGGAGGGATGGAGGCGGAAGGCAGTGGATATTGTACGGATCTACTCTGGCTGAAGCTAATCCATTTCTGCATCATGGAAATTATAATGTAGTTGGTGATAACAGAGGTAGTGATGAGGATGGGGGTGATGATGACAGAGGTGGTGGTGAGAGAGATTGTAGTAAGTGGTAAAGGTGATGCATCTATTGGTGCATCAAAATTGTGTTTGACAACATATAATATTAAACCTCCATCAAGAGAGGAACCAGGAAGAGATGAGGCAAAAGTTCTTAGCCAATCAGAAGAGTGATTGAAATTTGAGACATCCCCTTACCAGCCTAATGGGAAAATTTGTTGTCTCATCCTGACAACAAAGCTGATCTTGCCAGATTCGTGTCCCAGCAGCTCATACTGTAGGTGCCAGTTGACAAAACTATTGTAGCTGCAGGTTTCAGTGATACTGTACGGATCACAATACTGTGGTACTGTACAAGTTAGTAATCTGTAAATCAGATGATTCATGTTCATACGCTACTTCCAATTACCTTACCTTGTCCTCATTGTAGTAGATATTATAGTGCTGGTGGGTCCACAGGAACAACTTGTGAGTGTGAGGGACAAAGCCTGACTCTTCTAGATGACCAATGAAGTCCCTCACAGGTATATCATTGATCACAAACTCATAGTAATAGTGTTCTTCCACAGCCTCCCGCAAGTACTGCACTTCCTGCTCTGAGAGAGTCAGATCACATAGCTTGTGGTTCTGGATGTTTTCTGGAGGGTGAGAAAGAATAGGGTCACAAGTATAGTTTTTATGATATGATATTCAAGAAATAACTGTAATACTGTACCATGAATCCTCACTGATGAAGAGGAAAAACATTCTGGAACATCACTTTGAGAACCCCTAGGTGCTACAGATGAGAGGAGTAGCCTACTGAGGGATCACTATGACTAAAGCTCTAGAAGCTAGCATGTAGTAGACAAAATTACTTCTGCAGTGTCAATAACATCCTTACAGACTCTCAGTTTGGATTTAGAGCTAGAAGGTCAACTAATGACATCTTCAATTCCTTTGATGACAGTCAAGTCACAGTCGGAATATTCCTGAACTTCTCTAAAGCCTTTGATACCATCGACCATACCATCCTCCTGTCAAAGCTTGAACGGCATTAGGGGTTTATCCCACAATTGATTTACCTAATATCTGTCTAAAAGGAAGCAGTATGTCTGCTATAATAATCATCAATCCGACTCCTCACCAATTTTGTACATAAACGATATAGTCCACTCCAGCACACTAATAAAATATAACTTATTTGCAGATGATAGTAATCTCGATGCCAGCAACTCAGAACTCCACTCTTTGATGAGAACTATGAACACTGAATTGACTAAAGTCAGGACTTAAATAACACGTAATAAACTGACCTTAAACCTTGAAAAAATACAAAACACAATCTCTCACAGAAGTAAAACCCTAACCCCAGATTTGGACCATCTGTACCTTGGTAATACAGTCTTCAACCGTGAACAAGATACTAAATTCCTTGGGGTTATTGTTGATGAGAAACTTAACTGGAGAAACCATATACAAGCCATACACAGTAAAGTCAATAAACAGTGCGGTATCCTGTATCACACTTGTCAGTCACTTACTCTTGCAGTAATGAAAGAAATCTATTATGAACTTGTTTACCAACACTTGATACACTGTCATGCACTATAGGTCTCTGGCTCTTCAAAAACACAATCCCAGATTACTGCACAGAAGAGAGTTGTGTGGACAATGACCTACTAGGGGTAAAAAAAAAAAACGGATCACACTAACAAACAATTTGCTAAATTAAAATTTTTGTAAAATTCGAGGATACTAACACCTACTGCTGTGCCCTATTTGTTTACAAATCTGCCAATCACTTGATTGACAACAATTATTTCCAGTTCTGGAATAATCAGAGATACAACTTAAGACATCCAGAGCAACTAAGACGACCCCTCTCCCCCATTGCGCTCCTCTCAGAAGTGTACTGTATTACATTTTATAGGAGTAAACAATAGTAATAATAGACCAATTAAATTAAAATGATAATATAGTGGAATGGTCAATAGAAGATGGAACTCAGTGTTAATATGAATAAAAAAGACAACAAATTAAAGTTGGGATGACATAGTAATGTCAGGGTTGCTGACTCATGCATTGTCTTGTACAGGTAATTGGTTTTAGCTGTAGCAAAGTGCAAAACAGATTTCCATTACTGGCACTGATAAGCCCTTGGGGCAATTTGAGCCCAGGTGGCCCAAGACCAGGATAGATGACCAGCCTGTTGGTGACTATTGTTTCAATAACAGCAGTCTTTACATGAAAATACAGTGCCTTGGAACTGTTACTTTAAAATGTTTAACTCGGAGCGCGAGCAAGGATCATAGAGATAGGATGTGTCGCTCAGACACTCCACCTGGAGTTCATACCAATTGATGTTGAGATAACTGTAGACTGGCGAATTGACCCTTAGATTTTTCTAAGTGGTTTCACCTAGGATTAAATAGGCATTATTGTATAGTAAAAAAGTAATTATTATTGAACTCAGAATATCTCCTAAAATCAAGTGCACATGGCTTCAAAATGGCATAAAAATGCTCATAATATTGGTCAGATTTCAAAACCCCCCAGCTGGGTGGGCTTGCTGTGCTCACCATGTTCCCCCACCCACAATTTCTTGGACCCCTCTACCCCTTTTGATATTCCTGGATCCACCCCTGTTTAAACTCAGTGTAGTTTGATAGTGAAACCTTTCACCATAACTAGCCATCTCCTATAAAGTAAAGTCAATATATACATTGTGTTATAAGAATAAATAGGGAAAATGTAATGTGCAATTTATATAATCCTTCTCTATAATGTATGTAAAGTACTGAATTTTAACATTACACCACTTGTGAGAAGGAATACCAAATGACTTGTAACACAGTGATTATTGAAATTAAAAATTATTTCCCTAAAATCACTAACATACCCATATGGTGATTAAAGGGTGGTGGCAACTTCTCAATCGACCAGAGATTGATAATTAAGGGGCTGTAACCACCAGAGTGGGTTCTGTGAGATTAAATGCCAAGTGATGCAAGAACCATAAACATAAAACCCAACAGTAAGGCCTGGATGAAGTATTATCATGTAACTGACAAGGAATACAGGGTGGTGATCTACTTGGAGGGGGGGGTGCAGTACAGTATTCATATTAACCATGGAAAAAAAAAGGAAAAATGCAACAAAAGACTGGAAATACAAACTTCTTCAAATCATCCATACATTGAAAGTGAAGCTGTATTACCTTTGAATCTGATTTTGTAGTCTGACTTGGCCATTCGATCTCCATCCAAAACCTCTCCCAAGGTAAGGCTTTTGTGCTCAATCTGAAAAAAATATTTGAGGTATAGTACTGATTTTGTTGAGGGGTCAAGATACACTTTATACAAGGAGCTACAGAATTACAAATCATACTAATACAATTAATATGACAGATTAAACTTATGGAGAGAAATACTATGCATTACTTTTAGTTTGTTTCTAATCAAAGATCTAGCAGTAGGTTGTACTACTTTTTGTCAGTTGACCCTCAGTCAACACAAAGGACATTACAGAAAATACGTCGCTGATGATCATCTACATTCACCCAACCAAATCCCTGAACTACCTCCAGCCCTATTATTGTAGTTCTATCACATCCAAAGCATCTACACCAATATAAATCCTACCCAATTTCATCATCAGTCTTCACATAGTCACAACCTATTCCCTCCAAGCTCACAGGTTTCCCAAATAATAACCCTAATTCCCACTTAATTTATAACTACTGGATGTCTTGAACCTATTATCCTTCCATGAAGAGACATTTGTGCCTTCATCCAGTCTGACCTCCCTTGTTCCCATCAGTCTATTAACTGAGTTCCTCATACATAATTTGCTCTGACATAAGCTTTAACTTACATATAAACCATTTGTATCTGTTGTATTTATCCCTCACTCTAACATGCTTATTATACATTTTTCAACTTCTTAACTTCTGTAATGAAAACGTTTTCTCAAAACAATCCCAACGTTCACAGTACCGGCATACCTTGGCTAACTCACCCTTTATGGTCATTGTAAATAACTTCATAAGTCAGTAACAGACCCCCTGAATCCCTGGTTCATTATACAAGAACTCTAGATTTGTTCTTCACTCTCCACTAGTTCTGGGATGGAAGAATAAAATTAATGGCTGTGATCCCAAGAGAAATACAAAATTTAAGAGAATGGGTAAAGACAACTTTAAATTATCAGTGACCCAGGAAGGACCCACACAAATATCAGTGACTCAGGAATGACCCACACACATACCAGTGACCCAGGGTGACCCATACCAGCAAGAGAAGCCAGTCCCAGATGATAAAACTGATGTTCCACCATCATCTAGGCAAGTGTACCCACTCCACTGAATCTTTGAAGAGTCAAGGTGTCACATGTTCAGTACTTCCCTGCATTAGCCAGGGACCACATCCATAACCTTCTCATTTTGGGTTCTTTTACATTCATCTGGTAAGATGTAAACCTACTTTCAAGAACTAGTAGCAGCCCTGAAACTAAGTACATACTGTAATTTCAAAGGTGCTCAGAAGACAACAAACCTCAAAACTTTGACATTTACCAAGGATAGAATGGGTCTGGAATATTGTCTCACAAACAGGCATAATACTGACTGTACCCTGATGTCTCATCTAGAAGTTAAAAAAAATTGTAGTCACTGCAAAAGTTGGGTAGATTTTAATAAAAGTACACGGATGAACTAACTTATTATAAGTCATATCTTGTATTGTATTATATTTAAACAAACTTACAATTTTGGGTCGGCACACTGGCAACTGGTAATAATGGTAGGTCTCATGAGGATTGAAGTAAGGTCCCACTTTGTTGACATACAAAATAACCTGGAAAAAAAAATAAAACACTATACTGCAAGGTTGTTATTATTTAAATCAAATTATTTAAATTGCTGTAAATGATTTATATCAGAATGAAACAGTCATGATTTAAATCAATTATTTTTTTTACCAACACTGTAATTGAAATTTAAGTTTTTCCCTTGATATTTCAACATTCACTTAAAATTATGCAATAACAATATGAATGGTCAAATGACTGCTCAACTGTACAGTACATGCATCTATATTTATTTACAGAAAAATAATAAACGCTTCAGAGGTGCATATTGCATTAGTCTCTAAATTACATTAACTACCCGGTATGCGTTAAAGTAAATAAAGGTAAACCTTGATTTACAAAGCTGCGGTTTATTAAACTTCAAGGTTATGATTTTTTATGCATGCTTTGGTAACAAACAAAAACCCTAAAAATTCTATTTTTTCCCAATGTAATAAAGAAAAGTTATTTTCACTACCAGTATGATTACTTACAGTATTCAGTGCTAGTTTTTCCATAAAGAATCAGTGGATTGAATACTGTAGAGTAAAATGTTAACTGGAAGTACCCTGTACAAGTGTCCACTATAATATAACAATGAAAATCGGGTGTTTTATATATTTGTTTCCAAATAATTTTGCTTGCGGGTTAGTCCTATATAATTACCAAAACGAATGTCTGATTTGAACCAATCGCATCATAAACCATCAGAAAAACTTTTTTTTATCAGGTTCTTTGGTTGCTGTAATCTGCAATTTTACCAAATATTCACCCTACTGGAAATAAGCATCCCATGGCTTTGTCAGCTGTCCTTGGTCAAATTGACTAAATATCTATACATTAAATCGGAAAAGACAAAAATATGAATTAATAATCATATGAACACCTAAAGATATCTTTACCCTTGAATGGCTGAAAAAAATGGTCAATTAGCATAACTATAACAAATTCTGCCATCAGTGATTATTATTAACCTGTGTTGCCCCGCAACCTAGATGCCGACAACACTTGGTTGTTACACTCTACAACACAACTACTACAACTTGACAATAACTTCTATTAACAACTCAGAGCGATGACAACCATACCTCTTCTCCATTCTTGTAGGATACAGCTAATGTGGCTGAGAAAGACGAAATTACGATAGTTAACACCAGTAATGTTTTCATCTTGCTTCGTGGCGAAAAACACCAGAATATAAAGTCACAAGTAACAGTCTTGATCTTATGTCAAAAATAACAAACAAAACAGCATCGAGCAGCATGGAAGTGTCTCAGACCCTCCTCCACCAGGCACTGAACCGCCTAATAACTTAACACTCTTACTTATACTACAGGCAATGTAATCATTTAATCATATTTATGAAAATTTTCAGCATGATTGATCAATTAATTCACCATTTTCACTATTTTAGCTACTATTGCTAATATTAATTTATTTATAAGGCTGTTGTTAATTACTGTAAAGAGTTTCCTTTTGGCGGTGAAGCTTATTGAAGGAAAATTTGCTGACGTATAACATATTTTACGCGAGCTCCTGCTTTTATGTTAATATTATCTTTACTTTATCCTATTCTTATTCATGCTGAAGAGGTTTTGTGTTTTATTAGTACCAATGCAGCAGCCAGGGGTCATTTTTAAAGTTTTTATTTTATCGGGGCAAGTTATTTCAACCAAAGTAAATCACAGCATATACAAATTTTACTCAGAATGCAAAAATATACAGCAGAAGTGTTATAAAAACCAACTTACATCATAACAACCAATTTAGATTATGATAACCAATTACTTACATTATAACAACCAATTTACTTTATAATAACAAATATTCATTATAACAACCAAGTTATTTCATAGCAAGCAACATACATTGTGGCAACCAATTTACATTATAACAATCAACTTACATTATGATAATTAATTTAAATTATAACAACCTATTTACATTATAGCAACCTGTGCTGGGCATTTTGGAATAGTAATTTACGCATACTCGTTTGTGGCAGGACTGCAGATCTCGTGGCAATGCGTAAAAGTAAAAATACGACTCTATTCCATCGCAGCTGATAAAAATTAGTGATGATTTTTTTTGTCAAAAAATCTAATTTCACTTAAAAGGATAATTATTTTGTTCCACGCCACTAACTATGTGATTTTTTTTGTCTGCCAGTGTAGCTAGTCTTATTCTCCTCAAGGAGTGAAAACAGTTATTTCCTTGCACACACTGGCCGAGGCGGAATGGCAGAGTTGGTTAAAAGGTATTGTGAAAAATTAACAGCATTCCGAGACAAGACCTCAGCCAAAACAAGACCAGAGCCATGAGTTATACGTGGCACGGAATGAAGATCGTGAGGTTAACTCCTCCACCTTCAACCCCTCCCGAGAAGCTGAACCTCCTCGTCCTAAAGAGGTTCTTTACTCATAATCGTATAAAGGGGATAACGAAGATTGTCCGCCGGCCGAATGGTAGCCTTCTGGTTACCCTTCGGTGAATGGGGGCAGGCCAAACAACTGAAGGACGTTTTATACCTCAACGAAAGTATATACATCAACAATGTGCTACTTAAGGTGACCGCTGACCTTTGTGAAAACGCAGTGTGAGGGTCATCTCCCACACCGAAATTGAACATCTGGAGTTCGACGAATTACAAGAACTCATCGGGGAATGTGCAGTTCAGAGGAAGCTGTCGAGACCTGAAGGGGAAGTCACCTCCGCCGTGGTCGGTTTCCTCAGGGCACTTCCCAAAGAGGCTTTACTGGGATGGGACACCGTTCCAGTAAAGCCATATATACGAAGACCAACGAAGTGCTACCATAGTCAGCGCTCCGGCCACGCAGCCAAGAAATGCCGGGCTCAGGAAGTCTGCGCCACGTGCGGGACAACCGGGCACCAACACACCTCGTGTGAAGCAACACAAAAGAACTGTGCAATTGGCGGCGGCCCTAATTCCTCCTCCAACCGGGAGTGTCCAAAGTGTAGGGAGGAGTGTAGGGTGGCCAAGTTGCGGTACAAGAAAAAACTCACGTCTCTGTTACGCACTGTTGTCAAGTACTGGGCATGCACTGGCTCCTGAATGCATTTGAACCTGCTCCATTGTTGGTCAAGTCTGGTCTTAAAACAGCTCACTCTGGGTGCCGTCACAACATTCTGGCAGGTTGTTCACAACTCTCACTCCGAAAATGTTCGCCTTCGCAGTTTTCTGGACTTGTGGCTTCTTCAACCTTGAGCTGTGACCCCTTGTAGGACGGGCGTCCGCCAGCTCCAGGTATGGACACTCGAGTGAGTAGTAACCTTTGAGATGTTTATATACCTCAATTAGTCTCCCCCTTGCCCGTCGGTACTATAAACTAGGCAGTTGCAGGCGCTCTAATCTCTCAGGGTAGCTGAGGTGCCGAAGTGCAGGCACCAGTCTGGTGGCCCTCCTTTGAACATTTTCAATCAACTGATAGTCCCTAGCATATCTCGGGGACCAGACGGGGTGACAGTACTCCAGGCGGGGAAGTACCTCTTTCCGTTCTAAGGGAGGTGTATGCTCCTACTAGGGATGACTCAGGTGGAGTCGAGGCATTTACCTTTTCCTCACTTCATGATCTGGAACAAATAATTAAATCCCCTTAACATGTTCCACATCGATAAAACCAACTTGCAAACATTCTTGATCTTTGTTTTACCTCTATTCCCTCACACAATTCATACTCAATTTCTCCCCCCTTGTGGTCTTCTGATCACAATTTTATTCTATTAAATCAAACTGGGCGCGACCAACTCCCCCACCCACCTCTAAACGCTAACTATGGCATTTAAATTATCGGAGGGCACTAGCAATCCTTGCGAGAATTCTTTTCCGACTTTCCCTGGGGTAAATGTTGCTTTTCCTCTCGGGACGCCTCGGTATGTGCTGGGGTTATACTGGGTGATATGACTGCATTTATCCCATCTTCTACCAAAACTACCATCTTCAAGCCTCAGGTCCGATACACCTACTCGCGTTTTATTTTCGATTTTGCGTAGTAAAATGCCTTAGGTTTGACTTGACCTCGATTGCAATCCGCCTGTTACTCTTTTCAGCCCTTCTACGCTCTGAATTTGCTTAGTTCCTGGACCTGGCATACATCTTCCTGTCCTGCTTATCATTTGTCCTAACCCACCCATCGAATTTCTGAGTGTTGTCTTACCTTTGTCAACCGCTGCATGGTTCATGTGTAGCAGTCTCCTTGTATTCCTGGAGCCTATAATTTGTTTGGTCTTGTTTATATATTTCTCAATCCAAGGTTCAATTTACTAGCTACAACATTAAAAATTCAATGTAATAATGATTGCTATTGTTATTAAAATATATTTCCAAAGTACTGTCTTTATTGATAATTCAATACTATTTACTGTATATATATATATATATATATATATATATATATATATATATATATATATATATATATATATATATATATATATATATATATATATATATATATATATATATATATATATATATACTGTATAGTACATATTAATTTGAAGAGTTTTCATTCAATACAAGATCATACATGTTAATAAAAGATTATCTGCAGCATAAAATTCCTTCTTATTCAAATTACAGTATAAAGACAAACAAATCATCTCTCATTAACAGAAAACAATTCCAGATATCTATTGCTTTAGAATGGTACAGTATAGATCAACCTAATGACTAAAAAATAATTGTTTGCGTTTATTTCCTCATGCAAAAATAAGTGACTATTAATGTTAATTGAAATAAATACAACATGGTATTAGATACAAGGACCTTTTAATACATTTCGGTGGTAATAATGTTAAACTTTGTCCTGTATATTTCGTTTTCCACACAAATAAATATAATGGTAAAGTTACGCCAAGTCTTATAAGAATAATGAAAGGTGCAGCTAGCCATAAAAAAATATGAACATAAGCTAATGACAAAAATATAATCATAATCATACTGAGGTAACACAAACTACCCTGCTGGGTGCACGGTAGTTACATATGGGTAAAGCCACCCAATGTCATTTACACTTCAAGATACAGTACCTCTTACATTTCTTGTCAGATTTGTCTTCTTGCTCCTTATGAACAAACTTATTATACTTGTTTTCACCATTAATACTTACATTTGGTTTTGTTTCTTTTCACAGGCCTGATTAGTTCAGTCTTCTTTGGTGGATATTTTGGCCTCCAGCGAAGCTTATGAGGAGACATGGACATGTGTTTGCCTACTTCACCTGACATCTTCAACTGTTCTGCGTCATAAAGTGATGCTCTAACTGAGAATAAGGATGGACTATATGGAAGAAACTGTGAGGTGTTCCATGGCGAGAGAGGAACGCTTGATGGGTGTTCAAGGTGACAACATTCGTACTGGTTAATATCGTCGCTAGTGATGTCAACACCTTTTGTGGGAGAACCAAACAAGTTCATCTCTAAAACAGATCGAAGAGGGGAATTATATTCAGCATATAAGAGAGGAACTGTCTTAAGATAATTTGAAGTAAGAAAATCATTGGTCTGAGGCGGACATTTCAACAGTGGAGGATAAGAAGTGGATGTACTACAGTCTTTCTTTGGTGATGCTAAGTTCTTTGGGGACAAACCACCAGGCATCGAGGTATATTGTGGCCACATTGGATCAACAATACCACAATGGAATCTTGGGATACTTTTGGAATCTTCATGACTTCTGCACGAAATTAGTGTCCGGGATGGTCTGGACAATCCATTATGATCTTCATTTGAATTTTCCTTGTTCTTGAAACGTGGAGATGCGCTCGTTAAATCTGCCTTACGAATATGTTTATCTTGAACTTCCACTGTTCTCATATCACTGACATTAATTGAAGTGGAGTGTAATGTGTGTGTGGCTCCTGAAGAACATACCGGAAGTGAAGATGACTTATTGACTTTGTCGGACTTACTCTGCGTCAGTGAACCTGATACACACTGTCTCATATTCTGTGGCTTCCACCTCGGATTGACGGCAACAGAATCAGCATCACTAATGAAATAATTATGTTCCATGTGGGTTTTATTCACCTGACAATATCGTTTTCCGCTTTTATATAAGTGTTTCAGGTTTTTAAACTGATCATACTTCCTCTTGATGGTATCAAATTTAACCCTGTGGTTCGTATTCTCTTGTGAATTTTGTATCTTTGGTTTGCAATTGGACAGAGAAGTTCCTGCAAGTGTTGATGGGTTGTCAGCCGAGTGGCAGAGGTCCGTCACGTTCACCTCCTCTGGGTCCATCTGAATGTGTCGAAGATAAATACCCTAAATACCACACAATTAAAAGATATAGCCACTTAAATTACAGAGAAAAGATAAGGATAGATAAATTATTCAGAGATGGTGTATGTGTGTTCTTTTTCAACCTTTTCGTGCTTAATGCACATCAGGCAAAAACGAGAGCCCACACACACACACACAATTACCTCTATTTTTTTTCATTCTCATCTGTAAATGATGTTTTGCTATGGCACGAGATCTTCTACAGTGCCCCAAATCTAGTCTATCTTTGTGACAGGGAACTTCTCACAAGCTCTTCAAATGTCTCACGTGCCACAATCTCCGTCTAATCAAACCCGTTGGTGCGTCCGAGTACAGTTCTCTGAGGGTTGGCGATCACAGTCCTCCACTCCAAGCGTTCTCGGGCTGTTTTTTACCAATCCTATAAGGTTTTGTCTCTCTCTGGCCATCAAGTTTTTAATCTAATTCATCCTCCCTTCCCCTGGCCCTCCTACCCTCAACTTTGTCTTTTAATATTTCTGTTATTATTCCCTCATCCTTAATTATATGACCTTTTAAGTATTTCTCTAAAAGTTTTTACTAATTTTAGTATTTCTTCATTTGTTTTCCTAATGAGTGTTTATCTCTCTCCCTCCTATAGCGTAGACATCCACCTCCTTGGTCTTCCCCTCTTCCTTTTGCCCTCCATCTCTGAATCATACTCTTTTTTATTAATACTTCACATCCCATTCTATATCTATAATGAATTTATGTTCAAATTTAATAATCCTGTAATGAAACATAGTTCAATATAAAATGACTGACAAAATATTTTCTAATATTCTGGGAACCTTGCGTAAAAAAAAAATAATAATTCGGATCAACACCTTATTCTAACACGAACTTTATGCTGTACTTTCCCCACCCCGAAAAAAAAATAGTGCAATCATATCGTAGCGTTGATGTTGCCTTGCATTAATTAATAGAACTAGGGGGTTTATTTTCAATTTATATTTCCCCCTGTAATCTGTCAAACATACCCCCCCCCCTTACACTTATCTGGGTAATGGTATAAAGCTAAGCACACCTTACTTATTAAAACATCAACACAAAGATACCAACTAAAATACATTCGAAATCGCATAGCATCACTACTACCGTAACTGGATGCGTTCTCCTGCCACTAACAACGAGGAGAAAATTAATGTACTGTATGTACAGTATATGGACCTTTACACTCGTAGTTGTTTACCTGCGTGTGTCGCAAATGTGCCCTTCCTCTCTGTTGTTGTTTCTGCTGCCCATTCTGTTCATGTTGCTTTGGCTGTTCTTGTTCATGTTGCCTTAGCTGTCCTTGTCCCTGTTGCTCTGGCTGTTCCTGTTCATGTTGCTTTGGCCGTTCTTGTTCAAGTTGCTGAGGCTGTTTTGTTTTGTTTGGATTTTGTAGTTTTTGTTTCTGTTGTTTTTGCTTTCCTTGTTCGCGTTTCTGCTGCTTAAAGAAGTTCTCCCTCCAGCCATTCCCAAATCGATCCATCACCCCCAAGTAACTTTCCTCGCCTGAAACACGCACAAGAATCATCACCGGAGGAATGTAATATATTATGAACCTATACTAGTAAAAAATGGCCAATAAATAAAAAAATCAGCCAGTCATATTCAAAATTGTGGTACATTGACGATGGCATGGGTGAAGACAATACTCCATAATTATGTCCAAAGATGACAGATAAGATGAGTAAGTACCTCTGATGGGTAAAATAAGTGCATCTGATGGGTAAAATAAGTGCATCTGATGGGTATCATAAATGCATCATATGATTAATAAAAAGTGCATTTGATGGGCAAAATAAGTACAACTAATGAGTTATAAGAATTTTTGATGGATTATAAATATACCTACAGAGTTAAGCAAGTACCTCACATCTGATGGGTAAAAATAAGTGCAACTAATGCGTTATATAAAATAACTTTGATGGATTATAAATATATCTGATGGGTTATAAGTGCATCTGATGGTGTCATTAATAATCAGAAATATGAGCCCAAGGGAAAGCAATCAAGATGCTCTACGTGTATTGACTGTAAAAAAAAATCCCACAAGTTACTTAAAAAGGGACAATTAAAACTTCCTTATTCTATTTTACTTAAACAGGGACAAGAAAACATCAAAATGGTTTACATTGGCTGAGACAGAACAACATCTACAAGTAAAATGACATCAAAATTACACCGAGATTCTCCCATAGCTGAGTGCGATCTGTCATCCCACCAGGAAAATATTCAGGAGAAACGATGGTGTTATTTGCTAAGACCTTTGAACCCCTAAAATTAAACTTATTACAGATTCTATATTGCAATATACAGTAACTCCCCCAACACACCTGAATATTTGTGTAAGTTTAAATTGGTAGGAGTGACTTTCAGAACTATTAATTATAAGTGATTTATTTACACATATACACACAGACAGACAAACACACACACATACGGACCACCGAAGGGTCAAGACGTACCTGGCGCTCCTCTCGGAGCAGCCAGGTCAACTGTTAAGTTGGCCCATACCAACCCCCTCCCCTGAACCCTCCTCCCCACCGGAATATCAACAAGTTCTCGCCAGAAGTTACTATTTCATTTAGGAAAGGAATGGAACCAGTGTTAAACAGAGGTGAACAGTGGTGAACAGTGCTTAAGTCAGTGAGAACAACTCAACAGTAACAGTGGTACCCAAGTTGACCTTCACACAGTGAGATCCCAGGTATCCAGTGATAACGGCCCGACCCAACACCCAGCGATGTGTTAACCCCTCTACGATAGGAAGGCCTGGGACCACACCTCACTCATAGAACACCGTCTGTGAGGGAACTACTACACCACGTGAGGCCCCTCATAACACCATCTGTGAGGGAATTACTACACCACGTGAGGCCCCTCATAACACCATCTGTGAGGGAATTACTACAGAGGAATTACTACACCACGTGAGGCCCTCATAACACCATCTGTGAGGGAATTACTACACCACGTGAGGCCCTCATAACACCATCTGTGAGGGAATTACTACACCACGTGAGGCCCCGCATAACACCATCTGTGAGGGAATTACTACACCACGTGAGGCCCTCATAACACCATCTGTGAGGGAATTACTACACCACGTGAGGCCCCTCATAACACCATCTGTGAGGGAACTACTACACCACGTGAGGTCCCTCCTAACACCATCTGGGAGGGAGTTACTACACTACGTGTTTGCTGTTCAACACCTACATTAATCTGTATGTTCACTGTATGTTCCTTCACCTTTCTCTAATGAAGGCTTTTGTTAAACCACCAATGTATGTAATAAGTCATTTATGTCCAATGTATATTTTCAGCCTTCGGGCTGCAGAACTTTTTCAATAAACCGTTAATTATTATTATTATTATTATTACACAGACAGACAAACACACACACATACACAGACAGACAAACACACACACATACACAGACAAACACACACACATACACAGACAGACAAACACACACACATACACAAAGACAAACACACACACATACACAGACAGACAAACACACACACATACACAAACAGACACACACACACATACACAAACAGACACACACACACGCATACACAAACAGACACACACGCATACACAGACAGACAAACACACACACATACAGACAGACAAACACACACACATACACACAGACAAACACACACACATACACAAACAGACACACACACACATACACAAACAGACACACACACACACATACACAAACAGACACACGTTCCAAAATACAGTATTGTGACAACTTTAATTTCAACCCCTGATGTAGCCTCATAAAGCATGTCACTAAATGGCAATGCAAAGTAAATTCTCAAAGATTCATACGTTGTTTTCTATCAGTAATTGGCGTTAACATAACCTCTTTATGACAATTTTACTACAATTTTTACCTCTATTTGGCTGCCTAATTTGTGTAAGGGCTATTGTGAGACAGTAATGCCTTTTTCAACCATCATTTATGGGGGAAAGTTACCCTACGAATCCTAATCTGGTTCTGATTCTCAAAGTATGTATGTATACTTGCCAACAGTGAGTAACAGAGACGTGACCGATCGCCAAGCGGCTAACGAGCTGATCAGTGGTGAAGAGGATAAAGGTAAAAATAAGTAAAGAAAATTTACAAAAAAAAAAATCTTTCAACACACATGAATCATTTAAGCTACATGTACTCGTGGGTAAATGGGGGATAAAACTGTACTAAAGCTCTTGTGAAAGAATCTTTGAGAATGTGAAACGTAAAGCTAAGTCACTCACTTGGGCAACCCTGACTTAAGATGGCGACGCCCACCTTGAGCCACTGCAGGTAGAAGAAGGCATGTTTGATGATGCTGAAACGGTTAAAAGTAACATTATTATACACCTACAAATACCTTAGGCATCTACAGTTACAGTAAATACCTTTACTTACCTACAGGATCAAGAGGGTCACTATACCCAGTCCACGCTAACCTGGCCCATAAGCCACGCCACTCGTCTATAGCTACAATTAGCTGATTGGTTCCCCTGACGCCCATATTATTAAACAACATCTTCCCTTGAAGAGGGTAGTCGTGTTTCAACCCGAGAAGGTAGGAGGACTAGGAAAAAACCGAGGTGGATGATTGAAATTAAAAGCTGAGTCCCCAGAAAGATGCAAAATCTGAGAGGATTAGTAAAGTCAACCGTGGTCACCAACCCTCAGACATGAGGGTGGCACCTTGATTGGTTGATTGGACTACCTGTAAATTCATGGTTTAAATACCTTTAATGTGCCATACCTGTATAATGTTGAATTAAATATTCATGATAACCTATGAAACTTCAAACAAAATATATATAATTTTTTCAATAACTTAGCATATAATAATAATAATAATAATAATAATAATAATAATAATAATAATAATAGAAGATGTAGGACTTACTTGGACTTGCTAGGTTGTTTCAGTATAATAGGCTGAAGGCGCCACAGAGGCAGGAGCTGATCGCCTGCGTAACAATTCAAAAGTCTCCTGAGAAAGAGACATGTACTTAGTCTTGTCATTATCATCTACCATAATAACCAACAAAATCTTTTATAATGAGACAAAACTCATATGAAGAGGTAAGGTAGGACCTTATAGTAGTAGAGTCGTATAGTGAAAGAAGTAGGTAGCGTGACTCAAAGGTGTGGGGGTGACTACGTATATAAACACAGGCTCAGTACAAGTGTAGTATATAAAACACAAATGCGTGTTACAGCTTTATTTTACTAGTTGCATAGGGGGAATTAATGCGGGGGATTCGTACACAGGGTATGATAGACTATGATATGTTCGTGTAACTTTACAAGTCGAATGGGCACTTCACTAAGTCGATCGTTGGGAGGTTCGGGATCACTGCACTTCTACCACCTACACAGCCAGCACTTACTTTTACACGTTGTGTTGACAGCACTCTGTCGATGGGCTGAGACCTCGTTGCCTTTAGTGACGGACTTCTTTGATGAGCGGGACTGGGGACGTCGTTGCTGGCTCTCCTTGGTTATAAGACTCTGACGAGAGGAGCTCCAGCCCCTATATATTGGAGGAGCCGGGGGATGACCTCTACTGAACTGGGTGTGTCTTGGCCGGGTTGTTAGGTCAACAGGGGTGCTGGCTCATTAGTGGGTCCTTGAATTAACAAGGTCATGACGCCGGGTTGAGCTGATCGAGTGGCGGTGAGGATTCTGGTTCCCTCGAGTCAGGTCTGGACAGCTGTTTGCCCAGGTGTGGTCATGTAGCAGGTCAGTAGTGCTTTCTAATTATTACCGCCCGGGTGTATCTTGGCCAGGTGTGGTTTCTTTAACACGGTTATATCGTAGAGTTACTCAAGACTTGTACTTAGCGGCCAGGGTGTGTCAACTGGGTACTCGCTGTTATGTGTTGTAATTCTCTGGGCTGTAAGCTGTGGTCTGATAATCAATCATTACACTTTACTCTTAACGAAATTGGGTTCATAATAGCTCTAGACAAGAATATCAAGAACAATAGCCACCTTTAGTTGTGGTGTCCGTTTGGTAAATAGATAAATTAGGTAGGAAGGCAAAAATTCATCCAATTATAATGTTTTAAGTTTTCCGAAGCTATACTGTTCTATTAAATGGCTTTCTGTTATCATGAGTGGGTCCCATAAACATGAGTCACACAAGAATATAGCGTGGTTAACTGCATTCCACCTCCTCCACTTCCCCAACTCATAGTTAGGTACCCATTGCAAGTTGGGTGGATTGTGAGTGCCCCCGAAATCGGACAGGATATAAGCGCTGTATCCCCCATAATTACAGATAAACATAAAGAACAAGTTACTTCTTGGGTCTATGACCAATTGACCATTCTACCCACCATAGGCCCATGACGGGTAGGTCGAGTGCAGTTAGCCTAGTTAATCCAAATGCCTCTTATCTGGTTGTAGTGCTGTGCAGTGTCTGTCTCACCGAGCATCATGCCCAGCATCTTTTTTTAGCTAGTTAGCCTTTGACGGATGTTACCAGACACTAGGTGAAGTTATTAGAGTACTGCATGTAGATGGCTAAGTTACAGCCTCATAACTGGCTATAGGATAAAGCTTGAATGCCGCGTGGTTGGATAGCTAATATATAAGTGGAAATTGGGACTGAATAACCTAATTTCCAGTTTCGTCCAGAATAAAATTTAAAACTGCAATGAATTTACCCAAAGGACTCTGTAGTTTGTTCAGGATAAAATCTGTCATAATCTAGTGACGTTTTCCACCAATGTGCTAAAGGCGGTAGCTCGGTGATCGCTTCGTAGGAATAAATAATATTCAGTGTACAGTAACGGGAACAACTCGCATCTTGAAATGAATTCTAGCAATTGTCAGGGTTATTTTGGTAGAAATTTCACTGTCGTAAGGTCAGTAATATGTACCTCCTCATGATGCAGTGGTGACTTTCAAGACAAGACTTGACCAACACTGGAGCAGGTTCAGGTACATTCAGGAGCCGGTTCATGCCCAGTACTTGCCAACAGTGCGTAACAGACATGACCGATCACCCAAGCGAAGAGGATAAAAGAAAACGTAAAGGATCAGATGAATGATGGTCATATTACGCTGGAGCAAATCCATTTATCAATTGACACAAAGTTGGTTTAGGAGCCGAGTTACAACAAGCTTTTAACACCTTTTTTGCACTATCACTCGTTTAAAACAGATTTAGTGTACAATATTGTATACCTAAACTGACCATGCTGATCCATTGTGAACTTGCATGATGATTTTATTGAATATCTATCTTATTATCTATTGGGGATGTTGATATGAATTCAGGGCACCATTGGTTTACCTTATACTTATAGTCAAGTTGTTGTCTCGTGAAGCCTTTGAAGACAAACTTCTTAAAACTGGTATATCTAAAGCCAAAACATTTCTGTAAACACAGATAGCCTTATTACTCGATATAAATATTCTTAAAGTTGGGTTTGTCTTTTAATTATTCTGGCTGATCAAACTTGACGATACTAACACACAAACGAAGCCTCCTCCAGTCATCTTTTTTACTTCACGTTTTTTATCCTCGCCGGTCGGTCGGTCACTTTTTTTTTTACGCCTCTGTTACTTACTGTTAGCAAGTACTGGGCATGCACTGGCTCCTGAATGTATCTGAACCTGCCCCATTGTTGGTCAAGTCTGAAGCTCACACTCGGTGCCGTCACAACACTCTCTAGCAGGTTATTCCAAGAGTTCACAACTCTCACCCCGAAAAAGTTTGCCCTCAGTTTTCTGGACTTGTGGCTTCTTCAGCCTTGAGCTGTGACCCCTTTTGGGACACGCGTCTGCTAGTTCTAGGTAGGGACACTACTGAGTAGTGCTCTTTGAGATGTTTATACACCTCAATTAGGACACCCCTTGCCCGTCTGTAGTATAAGCAATTATCAATTCAGATGCCGCCTTTGTTCCATCGTATTTTCGCAATAATAAACTTGCATCTGTAAACTATACAATAGAAAATATATTTCAGTTCTTACCTTTTCCCCGAAGAACACTTCGACTTGGCCATATTGCTAGTTTATACAAGTTGAAGGTTACTTGACCAGTGAACGTCTCTTCTCCTGACGATCATAACAAAATTAACTTTTGGCGCCCAAAAAATCGTAAACATCCTACGGGTCCAAAATTATATATATATATATATATATATATATATATATATATATATATATATATATATATATATATATATATATATATATATATATATATATATATATATATATATATGCTGGTAACCCCGCTTCAGAAACTTGGATTTAAATAATGAACTAAAAGTAAACTATATAAAATAAAACATAATTCACTCACATTATAAAATATATTCTCAATATTATGATAAAACTAAAAATTAAATACATTGCCTGACATCCTGGCAAAACGTGATACACTGAGCACAACTGCGTTACTTTAGTCATAATAATTAGAGCTTTCCGGGATTTGCTTTGCATAAATATCACTTTATGAGTAAAGACTTACAGTATAACAGATAACCAAGCAGGTGGGTCCGTTTCACAAGACAGGGAATATTCAATGTTAGCTCTATGTTTTAAAGTTTAGTATAAACATCTTTTAGACAATTCAATAACAATGTAAATTTATGTAAAGCAACTCGTTCACACAGCATTGTCAAATGTGTACTTACTTTCTTTAATACTGTAGTTATGTTCCCTCCGGTATAATTGCTTCAGGTAAAGGTCATTTAAAATGTGTGTTATTTGGAAACAGTGGTTTGTTCCATCAAATAACCAGAAAATGACTATTTGAAGTGTATAAACATCAAGGCATCAGAGCGTCCCTATAAGAGTACTGAACATGTCTGCCAATTGTCAACCTGAGCGGAGCGGTTCATGTCTCTATACTGCCGCCACCACCACTTTTTAACTGTTTTTATTTTCACTTTTACCTTATTCTCTTCTCATCGAAACAAAACCAAATTTTCTCGTATTAATATAAAAAGTTACTATTGAAGCATTGGTCTGAATTATTACGAAGCTAAGATTATAATCGGATTATATGAGCCAAATTGAGAGTGACTTAAATTTGGTGGCTGATAATATAAACAGGTGCAAGATGGCGGGTGTTGGGGATGTTCGGGAACGAGATAGCAGCTCGCCCTCACCTGTCGAAACCCCAGACAATCCCGATGGAACTAAAGATAGAGCTGCTTTGGTGGAAGAGGCAAGTCCTGTCTATATTGTGTTTAGAGGAAATTTTGACAAAACGTCGGGATATTTGAGAAATTGATGTTGTTATGATTGGTGGACTCTAGGCTTTGTTGACATTCAGGTATTGTACACTCTTATTTCTTACAGCCGTGGCCTCTGACAAGCAACATTAACAAGCTTACTCCTGCCCCATTCTCATATATGTTCTTAGTTTTTGTGCTGCAGGAGAGAGAGAGTTGTGAAACCATAAGGTATAAGTAATGAACCGTGACATTTGTGTGGTAAGATAAGGAAGGGCTGTGGTGGTGTCTCTTGTTCCTTCTCGTTAACCATATCTCCTAGCTCCATTTATCTTCCTACCCTATGTATCATCTCCCCTTGAGTTTATTGGTTCTGTATCTTAGGTTTTTTTAAAGTAATGTGAGTTTTATTAAAAAAGATTTATACAACTTTTACTGGTCATTGAATTTTGTTGTGGTAACCCAAGAACTGCCGAGCATTGACTTGTTACCATAGTCAGTAAGTATCAAGTGTCACATTTAACCCAAGAACTGCCGAGCATTGACTTGTTACCATAGTCAGTAAGTATTAAGTGTCACATTTAACCCAAGAAGTGCCGAGCATTGACTTGTTACCATAGTCAGTAAGTATCAAGTGTCACATTTAACTCGATTGTTTCATTATTTCATTGGCTGAGACGAGGTTTTCTACTACCTGGGCAGAGTCATCTGACGCGTGTTTAAACAGTTACCGATCTAATCAGCCATAGGTTGTCATATTTTGGGTACATGATTTACTTTGTGTGTGTGGGTGACGTTGGGATTTGTTGAACGTTTCTTACCAGGTGGCTTTTGATGTGAGAGTTGATACTGTATCAGAATGACTAGTTGATACAGAGTGAGGTCGATTTTTTTGTCTTGTGGAAGCCATCTACTCTGAATGGGATTTAGAAGACTAAAGTAAATAAGAGATATTTATGGTGTTACTGGGGAAGAAGGAAATGGTTATCCAGGTATTTACTCTCCCAGGTTTTGTGTTTATCAACATAAAGTATAAAAAGATATTATTCCATACTTTTCATTAAGATGAAGACAGAGGCCCTGGAATATGCCAGCTTGGTGCAACAGTATTCAGATCCACATAAGTATGTTATGTTGTATACCATGATACGGTATATACAATGGTCCCTCCTTTAACGAGCACATTTGGTTTCACAGAGCCACTGCTATAGTAAAAGATTCAGGAGCAGTCATAAATATTTGTGGGTTCTACTAAAGCATGCAGTTTACAAAGATATCTTTAGTGTAACCTAACTTAACCTGAATATCTTGTAGACTGCACGCTATAGTAGCACTTATTAGTGAGTGAGGTGGGAAGAGTGTTTGCTAGGAAATCATTAGCAGTGATTGTGAAGAGATGAAAATAGAGAAACAAGGCTAAGATAAATTAATGTTAGCTTGAATGAATATAGAATAGAAGAAATGGAGTGTTTCAGATATCTGGAAATGGGTGTGTCAGCAAAGGAATGATGAGTGTTGAACTGACCCGCAGTGTTAGCTACTAAAGAAGAGAGTAAGTGATGGATTGATAAATGTACTGTATGGTATGGTATATTGTACAGTACTTAATAAATAGATAACTGTGTCAAAGATGGGGATGTATGGGAGATATGTCATGTTGAACCAACATTTGAAAAGCTACTTTTTACTTTTCAGTATATAAGTACTGTACTGTACATAATATATTAGTTACCTTTATACTTTAACTGAAGTGCAATTGATGAAGGCTACTTTTACTTGAACTTAAGTACATTACCATATTTTCTTCAGATTACTTAAGTATCTAAACACAGTACTTTCCACATCTTTGGGTACTGTGCCTCTTATAAAAAAAAGTTGGATTTTAGGAAAACATAGTTTTAGCAGACTTCTCCCCCAGCATATCCTTTAAGACTAGATTTTACTACATTCTGTCCAGTATACTCGAGACAGGATGAGGAGAGGATGCAAGCTCTTACATTAACTAATTGGAGCACCTGGCTGCACAAGCTCTGTTATTTATTAGGTTTACAAGATCCACAAGTTTTCATAAACATTAAATGAATTACCTGCTGAAAAGTTACAAAGGACATTACAGTATTTGTTTAGCTACTAAACACAGTACACTGTAAAATTATTTTCCTTAAAACCAGTGCAGTACTGGACAGTGTAGAATTATGCAGTACTACAGTACATGTGTTCTGTATTGGAATACAAATCTATGAATAAACTTGGAAAATAAAAGTATAGACATGTATTTCCTTCTATAACAAATATGTACAGTACTTTATAATTATGATTGTGTAGTTACAAGAGTTAATTTGCATACATTACCGGTATTCATAGAAAAAAAATCCAAAATGGCTGAACAAGCGACAAACAACTAACTTGACTGCTGTTATCTTTTTTCATCTTAACCTGTTATCCACATTACAATATTTAAAGATGCCCAAGCAAAATCATGGTGGTGCTGTTCAGGGAGTGAAATGTGGTTGTTTGGTTGTGAAAGTTTGTTTAGGGTGTGAAAGTTTGTTTAAGTTGTGATTCCTGTGAAAGGTTGTTGAGGGCATGGAGGGTTGTTTATGGTGGGTACAGGTATAATGTATCCTGAATAGAATTGCACTTAATTAAACTGGCAGAGTGAGCAGTGTTCTCTCTTGTTTAAGCCAAAACATTGTGGTAGCTAACCTGCTTGGTGGAAATGTTGACAATTTCACATTACAGTTAAATTCTCCTGCATGATAATGTTGACTCTTGTGTGATTCCTTGCTCTCCATTACAGCTAAACAATATTCAGAACATCATCCATCTGACCAAGGAGTACATTGATGACCTCAATTCTCGCTTTGCTGGCTTCCAGCATCCTCCGTCGTTATATCTCACGGTAATGATACAGTGTTCCCTTATTGCTGTAACATATTAAATTCTGGAATGATCTCTCTTCTGTTTCTTTTGTAGGCTCTAGGCCTTAGATATAGCAAATTGTGGAGTGAGCGAGATTTCCTGTAATTTGCTTCATGCACATTTGACACAGTGTTAGACTCCCACCAACCATCTATTATTGCTCTACATCCTCTTCTCAACCAGTTGTTATTTACTTCAAATACTCCCTAAACCAGTGTTTCTTAAATATTTTTTGTCATGATTCAAAACTACTGAAGATCAGTTAGGCACGCTGACGACCCACAGTATAAAATAAATACAAAGTGTTTACGGCCTTGATGACAAAAAGAGTTTCATGACTCATATGAACAGCTCAGCATCTAAGAACCACTGCTCTAAACCATCCTCTGATTTTGGAGGAACTTATTTTGTGTCGCTAATTAGTAAAATAGCCTTCAGAAGATGAAGTACAGCAATCTGATTTCTCAATATATGCCATTAGCATCATCATCACTAATATGATCATTATACTGAATTCAGAATTCATAAAAAGGAACAGAGGGAGCTAATAAGAGTGGTTTGGTAAGATTTTACATGCATGTTTGTGCTGTGAGCAGAACCCAAGCCTGGAAAGCTGAAAGGCCCAGGAGGCAAGTCTGATACACTAAATGACTTATTGTCTTTGAAGTGGGACAGTTGTTTGATGAGTGCTGGGGCCTGACATAGGCAGGTTTAGACTGGCTGTGAGCATACATAAGGAAAATATTCTTGTGTAAAGATTTCTTACTAATAGCGTACAAATGCATTTCATGAATTTATTTATTTTTTCTTGCAATTCACATTATTTCAAAATTTTCTTTGTGTGTTATACATTGATATAATATGCAGAGTCTCTTGAACATATCTCTGTATCTCTTTATAGGAATATACAGAATTGACAGGGAAGTTGCATAGATTTGAGGCAAAGGAACAGGAGATCCTAGAGCAGCTGACATTGAGTTCGACCACAGAGCACCCAGCTCAGACCAATGGCTGTCATGAGGACTTCTCTGAGGCCCCACCTCCACCTTCAGAGGACATGGAAACAAGCTTCCATGCCACCTCTCAGATCACAGCAAGTATGTTTTTACACTCCAGTATTTATTAATACAGTACACACATACACCTCCATATAGCTACCTGAAACACTCCAGTTCCTTCAATCTTTCTACTTTGAAACTGACATTTATTTCTCCATGCTGTTATTTTCTGATACTTGACAGAGTTCAACAATCACAATTTTCTGCACATAACTTGCCAAAGTTATGGCATATGTTTAGCTTAACAATATAAGCAAATAATAAAACACCTTCACAGCTTGTCAAGTCTTACTTGATGTTCACATGGGAAAGTTGGAATCCATTTATATTCTATTAATTCTCCTTTGTTATTCCTTACCACATCATTTGCTTTTTTACATTTTTGTGTTTTACAAAACTCTTCAAACTTTTGGGGGAGTTACAGTTTATAAGATGTATTGTACAGCTGTGATGTTTTATGATTTATTTCTGATGTTAATGGAATGTTTTATAAATTAATTTTTAGGTAGTAATGGTGTATGTGAAGAAGTTATACGGTCCACCCCACAATCTCCTCTGCGATCAGTGGTGCGTGCTCACTTGCCAAACAAACAACGTACTACGGTGCAAGTACAGCCTGGACGCACATTAAAGGATGCACTGGCAAAGGCCCTTAGCTTTCGTAAACTTTCTCCAGATGTCTGCATCGTTTATAGAAAAACAAATCCAAAGGTATGCATAGATAAACTGTCAAGTGAGGGTGACTTGATTATTACAAAAATGGACTTTAGCCTTTAGAAATATTCTTCTTTGTATCTTGTTGATGGCAAGTTGTTAGGGTGGCCTGTTATTAGAATGAAGTTTTAAGTACTGTAATTTAAATTGTTAAAATTATTTATATAGTGTACTTAAATTAACATTGGTCTCTACCTGTAGGTCCGGATGTCATGGGATTCAGACATCGCTCAGCTGGAAGGAGAGGAGATTGTTGTGGAGGTACTGGAGAAGTTTCCTGTCACAACCTCCATATCTCACAACTTTGTAAGTTTGCAATAAACTTTTTCTAAATTTGAAATAAAGATTGTAAAACATTATGTTGCATACAATATTGTATCTGGTACTTTTATTTTCAGACAGAGTGGTTTCTTTCATGGTTGGTAATAAATTAATTATTATTAATTTTTTCAAGGTGATGTTTCATATTTAGATTATTGATGCACCTTGATAAACATTCAATCTTTTTTTTGTGATAGGTACGTAAGTCTTTTGCAATTCTAAATATATTGTATAGAGTATTGAATGCAGAATATGTCTGGTTAATTTTAAATTTTTAGCATGAATTCTGAGGATGAGGATAGTACGGTACAGTATTCATTTATGAAGGAAAATGGGTTTGAGAATTTTCTGCCTGTTGCAGATTTTCAAAATGGTCATTCTTCAGATGAGTGAAGTTTTGTACTGTTTTCATGAAAATACAGGTTAACCTTGATAACTCGGCACATATAGGGCTCTGCTTCCCCCCCCCCCTTAAACATGCAACAATAAAAAATTGTCTGCCCATATACATACACATGTAAGTAGAAGGCAAAAGGCATGGTAAGTGATGCAGGGAATAGGAGGTGACGCAGGGGAATGGTAGGTGACGCAGGTGATGGAGGGGAAACGCTACATAAACAGTGCGGTACAAATGTAGGTTAGAAATAAAGGAAATTAATATAAAACTATAAAATAGAAAAATGAAGAGCATAGGTGTGTGTGTGTGTGGGAGGTGAATGTATGTGAAGGCTTCTCAGTGAGCTGTACTGCATGGCTGACTTACCTGCCTCCCTCCCATGTGACGTCACAACGCACACACGTCTCAGTCAGCTGGTTGATTTCCTGGCTGAACTGTGGAGTCACTTAGATGATGGTTTGGGAAGTAGCAATTTTTTGTACATAAAATATGTGTTATGTATCAATTTTATTGTTATCACAGCAATTTTTGTTTACAAAGGGTTATCGCACTACAAGTGTCAGACACATGAATAAATGACGTCAGTTGCTTTTGGATTGTTGGGCTAAATTAGAAGTTTTACCAAATATGCCGAGATTTTCCCAGATAATTTTATATAACTCGGTATTTCCCGAGTTATTTTATAATAAATCCCGAAACCATATACTATATATGTCGAATTATATGAAATTCCAAGATATCAAATGCTGAATTACCAAGAGTTTACTGTGCAGCTAATAAATTAATTGGGAAAACAAGGTTTTTCCACAATCCAACTAAAAAAATTACATTCAAATCCCAATTTTTTTTTCATTATGGCAGTTTTAGACCATAATCTAGTGACAGAATACTATGCATGTACTGCATAACATTAAAAATAGAACGACACAGAGAGGAATTATTTACTCACTGATTTGAGCCTTTTCACACCTTCAAAGCCAGATGTTGGTTAGCAAAGGGTCTAAGAAAGTTGCTTAAGTCCTCATTTTGTGATGATGAGATCTCAGCTCTGGTCATAATGCTGATAGAATTATAAGAATAACAACATTATCTTGAGTATGGGCATCACTGAGACATTAGCAGTTTGAACTGAATGCTTCATTTAATGTCATCCTGCAGTGTGTGTCAATTAGATCATGGCTTTGTTTATTTTCCATAATATGTTATAAGTTTATAAAGGTGAATACTTACTCTCTTATTCATACTTAGATTGGCAAAACCCTTCAGCTTCTGGGAATTCTCCCCCCCCCCCACCCCATGACTCGGTGCCCAGGTTGACCCTCTTGAACATTTTTGTCCTGTGGATGTTATCATGCTTAATAACAGACAATGAAATATTTTATGTGCAAATATAGTTTTATTTTTAACTGAAGTATTAGCTATTGAGATGAAAGGGTTGCCATTATTTAATAGTTACCATATTTTTTAATGTACAGTGGCTGCAAAAGAAATCTTTACATTTTTGGCGCAAATGAAATCTTTACATGGCGTGCAGTGTAAAGATTTTAATTGCGTTCCCGGGCTAGCAAAAGTGGGAGGAGCTTGTGATCACGTAACCGCCTCCCACGCACCTCCAGCCACCAGCCACCAAGGCCGCTCGCATCAGTGAGCCTCGCACTCGGATAGAGAGAGGTGCAAATATACGTAGCTCCGCCACCCGCTATTCTCCACACGTGCGCCAACTTTGAGAGCCTATATCTCCACCCAAACTGAACAGAATGGGTCGAAACAAGCTCACACTACATGAAAAAGCTTGGGCTTTAACCCAATTAGAACTGGGGATGTGTGTGATACATGTAGCTGCAGACTTAAAAGTTTCAAGGCAAGCCATTTACAACCTCAAACATGCGGCTGCGCCATTACCACCCGGAGCTATACCGAAGAGGAAACTGGGATCTGGGGCTGTTAGGAAGACCTCAATAAGGACAGACAACATCCTGAAGCGTGAAGTGATGTCTGATCCTGCTGTAACAGCTTCTACACTCAAGAAAAAGCACCCAGACCTCCTCAAACATGTGGCAATCAGGACCGTACAACATCGTCTCCAGAAAGACCTCGGTTTACTGACTCGGCGCGCAGCTAAGAAGCCTCTTCTCACCGAGGCTAAGAAGAAGAAGATGATTAATTTCTGCAAGAAATACCAGCACTGGACATCAGACGACTGGAAGAAGGTGATGTTTAGTGATGAAAGCACCTTTAGGCTGGTGAGGGGTGCCTCGAAGATCGTGCGTCGGCCCAAGAATGTCGCGGTACTCTCCAAAGTACACCGTCAAGACAGTGAAGCATCCAGATAGTGTGATAGTGTGGGGTGCTTTTAGTGGTTGTGAGGGCAGGGGAGGTCTGCACTTCCTTCCCAAGAATGTCACGATGAAGGGAACTAATTATATCGAGGTGTTAAGGGACCATATGCTACCGTTTTGGCCAATCCATCAATGTCATCATTTCATGCATCATGGTGCCCCTGCCCACAAGTCAAAAATAGTCACAAAGTTCCTCAGTAACAATGAAATTGATGTGTTAGAGTAGCCTGGTAACTCCCCCGACTTAAACCCGATCGAAAACGCTTGGAACGTCTTGAAAAACAAGATTCAAGAGGCCAGACCTAGCAACATCAAGAACCTGCAGGAGGAGCTGAAAAAGTTGTGGGTCAACATGGACGTCTCCTACTTTGCCAACCTCGCCCAATCAATGCCAAAACGACTGCAGATGGTATTGAAAACGAAAGGTAGCATGACCAAATACTAAATGTAAGGTAAATACTGTAATAAAAGTCATGTAAGTCATGTTTTTAGTTTTTATTCTCCTCCAAATCTCAAGGTGAACACAATGTCAACATTTCTTTTGCGGCCACTGTATGTAAAGATATGATTGACAGCTGTGGCTCCCAGAATTATACTCTGCCTCAAGTGATAGTAAATGTATGTTGCTTATGACGAGCATGAAATGTGTTGGAGGTTTGTCATAGTAAATGAATGTGAAAAGTGATTTCCAGTGAGTGTGACCTTCCCACTCATGGTCTTGCATCTTTGAAGTTGGCCTGATGACTTTGGCTGTTATGCTTGCAGCAGCAACTTTTATGAGGAGAGTTGCACCGAATTGGTTCAAGTGCGAGGTTTACAAAGTGGCGGCACCTTGTGTAAAGTTGGCGTAACTCCTTGTAGAAGATGCTGGCTTGCGGGTCTTGTCTTATTGGATTAGTACCAGTTATAGATTGGTTCACCAAGGCCAACTCAGGGCACTGCTGCTAGTTTCAAATGTTTGAAAGCATATGAGTGTAGCCCACCTTATTTTGGCTTTCAGTTATGTTGATATACTTGCTATTTTTTCTTTTTATTAATATAACAAGACTTTCATGTCTTTGTAAAGTAAACCACAAAACTATTTCTCAGGGGCTGCAACTTATTTTTTTTTTTTTTTTTTGGTAGGTTAAAAAATGGTCTTGAATTTGTGGGTGCCAGATTAAACACTGTAAATGGACCTGATTTTTGGTTGTTTTATTACCATATCTTGCAGAGAGTTCAGCCTTCTCTATGAGGGTGAACTCATAGTGGTCCATGACAGTCAGACATCTGTTTGCTCTGTTAGGGGATCAAGTCAGTGAAGCCGGCTTTTGTTGTTTTATCACTGAACCAGCCAAAAGAGGTTTAAGTGGCTTGTGTGTTCTTGTATCAGCAAAAACTGTGACCCTGCTCTCTCTAGGGGGAACTGCTGTCCCAGATCTCTCATTTTTGTAACTGATGTGGTTGGGAAGGTTTATCTCATTTTTAGATTTTATTTTATTTTTAGATCTCCAGTTACAAGCTTAGGTTCCTGGAAGTCGAGATTTTTACATTACCGATGATTCATGAGTTACCCAATCCTGGCTCAATTAGAAAATGTGATTTCAGAATAATTACTTAGTTAATAATGTATGCTATTATTATTTTCAGATTAGAAGAACATTCTTTTCCTTGGCATTCTGTGATAATTGTCGAAGACTCTTATTCCACGGGTTCGTATGCCGCACATGTGGTTATCGCTTTCATCAGCGTTGTTCTATAGGAGTACCAACATTATGTCAGCAGGATCAGCGCATCACCAACAATATCTACCAACAGTAAGATTCATGCATTATTACTGTTTTATCAATTTGTCTTCATTTATGTGGTCATATTATAGTATGATAATGTTTGTCATTTATTATGATTTCCATGCACTACTCGAGTTTCCTTATACAGTTGCTACAATACTGTATTGATCTTTTCATATTGTTTGTGGTCCATAGATTGTTTATTGTTTGTATAGCACATGGAAATCATAATTTCCTTTTCTTGAAGGTTAAGTTACAGTAACTAATAATAAAAACAACAATTATATTTGAGGTTTAAGTGATTTTAAGCTATTTAGAATTCTCCAACATAATCCATTGTAAATTATGTAAAAATTTGCTATACATGCAGTTTTTGTATTGTGTAGGATTGTAAGACAATATTGGAAGGGAACAGGAACACTGTTAAATTTCATATGAGAGCTGTTGATTGGTAGAAGTTCTGAAAACCACGTTTTTCTGTTCTTACTAATTTCCTTTGTGAAGTAAGCATCAGAAAAAAAAATAATGGCTGTAGATGTTGTGGTATACTGGATAGGATGATGGATGTGAGTAAGACTGGTGTAAGTTTTGAAGGCAGAATGGATGAGTTGATGGTCGGAAATTTTTTTGTAAGATGGCAGGTTAGTGGGTAAAGAAAACGCTTAAATTCACTATGGTAATGATAAATTGGGCCAAAAAGTGTCAAAAATAAGGGTTAAAGTTGCTAAAAAGTCAAGTGACTGCGAAAAGCTCTGTGATTGGTTGTGACATCACCGGTTGGGGAGAGCTTCCCAGCGGGAGACAGCCAGCTGTAGTCCAACCGTCTCGGCTGATCGGCTCTGTAAATAAATATTATTAGGTAATTAATTGTGCTTTACTGTGCAACACAGTAATACTATTTTGAATATATAAATATTACGTAGTACATAAACTACTGTAATTCAATGGATATTAGCTGCCCATGCAACAAATTTCATAGTACTGTACAGTATAAACATTGCAAACAATATTACTATTATTTTGGTTTTGGTCATCTGGGGACCCTTACGCCCCGAGTTAGGGTGCTGCTGGCAGTACCCCCCTTGCAAGGTTAAATCGAGAAAAAAATCATTTCCAAAATTAATAAACAAAAAAAGGCAGGAAAATAGGCTGACGTTCTGGAACGTCACCCGGGGCGCGCTATTCGGACGTTCTGGAACGTCACCTGGGGCCTAAGGGTTAAGATTCTAACTATGGGATTAAGTACTTTAAACAATAAGCTTAACATACGTTGGTAAGGGGGGTAGTAACTCAAAGCTAGTGATTTCCGATAGAAATGCAGGTCTAAATCGTTCATAACATCGCAAACCATCTGATAAAAAAACATAAGTCTGCATGTCTAAGTACAGGGATGACCCAAACTGAAAATTTACTCAATATAGCCTTTCTTGAATCTAGACATTAAAATACTTATGGAAGTTAAAGTAAAAATTTACCCACTTATTAATATGAATCATGATATATCCCAGTGGTTCATAAGTAAATCAATAAAACAATAACAGCACTATTTTGTTATGTTAAATAGCACCAGACAATGTTATTACCCTGTACTTCTAAATTTACTCTTATCTCCATCTAGTACTGATATACTCTGTAAATGCACTGAAAAAACCCAGAGAAAGTCTACCATGTAAGAGTACTTGACAGCTGAGCTGATGTGAACATGGGAGTTTTTTATGTCCATAAGAATGGAGGAAACTGCAGCAGGCCTATTGGCCCATACTGGGCAGTCCCATTTACACTCAACCCCTATCACTCATATATCCATCCAACTTATGTTTGAAGCTGCTCTTCACTGTACATTTCTTCACTTATGAAATGTCCATGACTTAGACCATAAAAAAACACCCTTAAAACTTAACTGAATGTGGCATTTGGGGTCTGAACAGGCCACCCTTTCTACTACCTCCGACACTGCAGTGATGAGTTTGAAACCAACGACGTCATTGCAAATGGTGGCCCTATTTCAAGAGAAATAAACTTATCTTGACTATTATAACCGGACTTTAAACTTTTATTACAAATTATATACGTATACCGTATCACTCTACGAACGTGGCAGAGTGTATTTCTTGTGTTTGCCCAGAACCGTCAACTCGTCCATTAGATATAAAGTTATGAAGAGATATGAGTGATCTGTCATCTGGGACATAAAGACTGAGAATGGTCAGGGTGTTTTGGGAGTACCTGTTAATGATGTGGTAAATGTTAATATATTTCAGTGGTATTCATTCATCGTCCTCTAGTTTCCTCATTTTTTATTGCTGTTCCCTGTCTTTTGTTTTGTTTTCTCCATTATGTGTGAAAATGAAACAATGTGAGGGCCATGGATATATACATTGTCATTATTTTCAGTTTATTAGCATCTCATCAAGCTAACCCAGCAGGAATATTGACAACAACGGGTTATGGTGGTCCACCTGGTGTCCAGCACTCTCTTATTGGCCCATATGGTAGTCAGTACCCCGGACCTTATGGTGGTCATTATATGGAAGGTTACCGCAATCAGTATTCTGTACACTATAGTGGTGGGGGTGGAGGTGGGCAGGCACCACCCACCCTTCCTCGACCTGCCCCAGCACCCCTGGCTCCCCGTGACCGCTCCTCTTCGGCGCCTAATGTCTGCATTAACTTGGTCAACCCGAGCAATCCTTCTGAAGCTGCATCCCTGGCAGAGTTTGCACATAGAATGGGAAGGAACTATAATCCTGCGAGTCCAGGTTTGTGAACCGTTTTTATTACTTTAATTATAGTAAAGCTCTAACTTAAGGGAGGCCCTGTTTAGAACATAATACAATTTGAAATTAAAACCTAGGACATTAAATTCAAAGAGTTATTAACTCAGTACTGTACAGTATTGGATATTTTGTTAAATTTACTTATTCCATTTTGGAATGATTAATCATTGTTATCTTACAGCTCATTAAAGAGGCTCACTGCTGCAGTCCATTTATTTATTTATCTATTTTTGTTGTACTTTCTTATTGTTATTCATGATGTTATCTTAGTTGAGTGTTGGAGTCAACACCAATCTCAAGTAATTTATTAGACTTTTATATTTCATTCTTGAGACTAATTTAACACCACAATACTTAACTCAGTACTTCTTGTAAAAGTTAGACCAGCTTTAATCTGGTTCAGTAAGTTTTAGTCATGAAAGATTCAATAACCGAATTTTGTTTATGTTCATGTTACTTATTGATAACAGAGTTTCATTCTGTGAATTAATTTTCATGACACCCACCCCAGCAAGGCCCTACTTCTTGAAATGTAGACCAGAAGAATATTACTCATTTGTTACTCATACAGTGATGGGTTAGTGTGTGTGTTCACGAGGGTAGATCATAGGTGAGTAAGTTTTTGGGTTTGAGAAAAACAAATGTTGTGTTGAGACTTGAAAATTGTAAAAAAAAAATGAACCAAGTAACCTAATGCTTGTGAGTACAGATTAAAATGATTCAGATCTCTGCATGCAACCATTTCCATCATTTAGCTTGACAGCCAGCTAATCCCGCTACAGTGATAGATACTGTAGTATGCTGCCTTATTCACTCAAAGCAGGTTGTTATTATCTTGAAATGTTTACATGATGGTGGAACATTTACCAAGAATTAGTTTTTAAAAAACACCTTTCATAAGTGCAGCAGTTGTGAACTGCATCTGCTGTGAGAAGTAAGAATTCAGTGCATGCGTGTCTATGACTATGTCTAGCAGGTATACTGTACTTTATCCTGAAACTTTTGATCTTTTTTATTTGTATTGTCATGGACATTGGATTATTTTTATAGGTCAGCTGTGTGAGCTACTGCAGTGGCCCTTGGTCCATTAATCAGTGCTCATGGTCCCTTAACCAGTGCTCATGGTCCATTAATTAGTGGTCATGATTCCTTAACCAATGCTCTTGGTCCATTAATTATTGCTCATAGTCTATCTGCTGGAGAACCATGAGCAAAATTGACTTTGAACTGGTTAGAGGTGTTCCTTTGGGTTGTCTTTAAAATATGTTAATGAATCCTGATTCATATTATTAGCTCAACTGGCTGAGCTATTTCCATAATGTACAGTACTTTGTTCTTTAACATCTGTCAATTTTCTACATATTTTAGAACTGTCAGCTTACTGTGTGTCTTAGACTTTGGCATGGAAGTATATTGGGTTGTTCCTTTAATTTTCATGGGGTAAGAGACAGGTGGCCTCTGTTATATATGAAGAAACTAGTGGGGGAGGAATAAATTTATTCCTTCTCTGAAGATGCTCACCCCTTTTTACTTAGTGTGTAGCCCCACTTGGTTGTACTCCACAAATGTTCACTTAAATATCAGAATCCCTGCCTATCCGTGTACCTCATGTCACCTCCTCTTGTGTTGATAGTATTGTAGATTGGCAGAAGTAGGATCTTCCTCAGTCATCGTAATACAGGTCATATCCACAGCCAAGATCAAAGATACTCCAATAGTGGTCTAAATACTTGCATAATTGATTCACAAGTTGGTGTAGTGACCAGATCATCAAACCATTGATCATTTACACCTGCCAAGAAATAAGAATACAGAACAGTAATGGATGTGCAAAAATTGATAATTACCCCTGTAATTGTGCACAGGCTGATGAAATATTCTGATTTTCATTGATAATCAAGAGGTGAAGGAGGAGCACAAATAAAAGCTGGAGGTACAGGAAATAGGATAAGATAAAAAAAAGTAAGGATAGCTGGAGGTAATGAGGAATTGAAAACTATATATTTTGAAGAATGGTGTGAGCCATGAGAATTGATTGTTAGACCAGCCAAGGGAGAGAACACATCTAAAAACACCTCCTTGGGCAAAGCTGAATATAATCTTGTTTTTTAGGTTGCAAATTACAGCTGAAATCGTACAAAGACTCTGGCATAGGTTCTTATTCAAAGGGATACTGTACCTGCTTGTTTAGTTGGAAATTGTTGAAATGATTTTGCTCATCTTTTTGAGTTTACTTAGGTATTTCTGCAGTTAAATACTGTTAAAAGTTTTTTTTTGTGTGTGTGATCCAACCATTGTAATTGCCTTCAGTAAATCCTATTGCTGTTTGACAGTTGAACACGTGTGTACAAGAAACACATGGTCTTCAACCAATTTCATGTCAAGTTTAATTAAAAATTATTCTTGAAGTAAAGAGAATGCACTTGTTTGTCATACAGTGGTCCCTCGGTTAACGAGCACAATCCGTTCTAGAAGGTTGCTCGTTAACTGAAAAACTCGTGAACCGAAACCATTGTTTCAATGGGTTTTTGGGTACAGTAATTGGTTCCAGCTCACTGAAAATTGCCTAAATTCACCAAAAAAGGTAGAAAAGTACACTTACTTTGAGGTGTGTATGTAGAAGGCTCCTGGATGATGATGATGGGAATTAGAATGGGGGTGGAGGAGAAGGGAGAAGAGAAGGCATTGGGGTGGAAGAGAAGTCACCCCATGGTGCCATTTCACCCATAAAATTTAGTTCTCTTGGTGTAATTCAAGATTATTTTCTTTAAATCAACACTGCACTGCATTATATATTGTCAATATGTAAAATAAATTTCAAAATGACCAATAATTTGCTTGCAAACACAGAAAAAAGGCATTTAGTTTAAGAGAGTCTCAAGCAAGATGTTACCACCTCTGAAAAGACACAAAGACTGACGCCTGTATGGTGTGTTGAGAGGCTGGATGGCGCGCATAAAACTAGTTTCATTACCTTCAATTATGTTCAAAAATTGTTAAAATGACTAAAAAATTTAATATTGAACTTTTAAAATTATTGAATAGTATAAACTTCTTGATATTTGCTAAAATGGTAAGGAATTTAAGCCCTTGAACCGATTACTGTATTGGCGGACTAATACTACAGCTGGTGGACCGCCAAATGCAAGCGAAAACATGTTCAGGTCGGCTCGTAAGAAACTCGTTAATCGAGGGATTGCTCGTTAACCGAAGTTAAGAATCTTATGGAAGGTAACTCGTTAACCGAAGTTAAGAATCTTATGGAAGGTAACTCGTTAACCGAAATCTCGTTAACCGAGGCGCTCGTTAACCGAAGGACCACTGTATTCTGACAATAATGTTTTATTGCCAATGATTAGTGTACACTGTAACTGTCAAAGTAAATTTAGGTTCATAAAAATTCCTTAGTTTATCATTTCATTATATACTTGCAATTTAATTTCTCACTCAGTTTTTGTGTCTGTAATGCTCTTTGACTGTCAGATAAAGTTGACTTTGGTTTGTATAATTTATTAATATAATAATATATCAAGGGAGTTACAGGGTTAATCTTCCTCTGTGTACTAGACAAAATGAGGCGAGGATAGTCAAAATCATTAAAGACTCGTGGCTTTTATATCTGCATGAATTCTAAGTACGTTTTGGCTTGATAAATACACACAGACATACTACTCATTTTTGTACAATTACAGAATCATACATAACTACTGTGGCACAATGACAAGACAGGTTATAGCTAGTGTAGCACAATTGCATGACAATATTGTATATAACTAGACAATACTGTTTTGTTTTAGATGATTTACCATACAGTAGTCACAGCAAAGTCACAATGTACTGCTCTAGGAAGTGCTGATAACTGCTACTTATTATCTTATTACAGTACAGCAGTAATAAATACAACTACAGTTAACATCCCTAGTACCGGACACCTGAGTAACGACATGTCCAAATAACGATACAAATCTTGGAAAAATTATGTAAAAATTAAAACAAATACCTGGGTACTGTATCTTCCGGGATATTGTTATTGTTGTGGAGCGATGTGGCTAGAACCACATGATCCTGCCAGCTCAGCTGGCATCACAACAATACAAAATAACAAAGGATTGGAACCTATTCTCTTTTACTCATTATTAAATCAACCTATAATTCAACCCTAGCCTTTGAGGAATACAAGGTATAATCGTAGACATAATTAAATTGTCTTACTACAAATTTTGTAGTAAGACAACACCAACAAGTCTTGGCCATGAGCCCTTGATAGCCACCACAGTAGCTGATGCTATGAACAGTGTTACAATTTCTGAAACTGAATTTCCCTCCAGTTACTAGTTCATCTGAAGAATAAGATAAAATAATGTAACAAATGTGAGACATATTGGAGACAATGTGAACTTTTAAAACCCAAAGAAAGTTTATTCTCTTTTACGTTTTTTACATTATTATCATTATTATTATTTTTTAAATATTATGTATGTTATATTGTGTGTGCTTGTAACAGAAAAAAAAGATGAAGAAAATTACGCACATCTACCGAAACTACGAGTTTTAAAATAACCATAACATACGACCTGACAACTTGGCCTGGAGTGGTAGGTTGAGGGTTACAGGGATGTGGCTTTAGTGATGAGTCTGGTGTTACTATTACAAATACAAAACTTATATAAAATACAGAAAAAAGGCATTCATAAACCATTTCACGTACCTTTCTTATGTTATTTTCAATTGGGCTACTTCAAACAACACTTGTATACAATCTAGATGAAAAAATGCAGCTAAAACCATTAAGGAAAAGATATATGAAAGTTTAACACAACTGCCATGCATGGACGCCGCCTCCACGCTCACCAGTCCCCACAGCCTATCCCCACCCTCTTCATGTCACACACTCCTAATTCGCTTGCAAAGAAATGTTTATTCCTCTTATGTGTTTGCCCTTATGATAATTATTTCTTTTACTTTTTTTCACAATATGTATG